AATACTTAAGAAGGGAGGGAGTGATAGCACAGCAGGTAGGGCATTTGCCTTGCATGCGGCCAACCCGGGTTCGATTCCCAGCATCACATATAGTCCCCTGAGCACTGCCAGGAGTAATTCCTGAGTGCAGAGCCAGGAGTAACCCCTGTGCATCACTGGGTGTGACCCAAAAAGCAAAAAAACAAACAAGAAAAATTAAAAAAAAATACTGAAGAGAAGAGGAACATGTTTATGCATATATATATAAGTAGATAAAGGAATGATTATGCAACTTACCTAATTTTATACTTGTACAATACAAAATGTTTATTGAAAGACTATCAAAAAGTAATATGAAAATTGCCCAAGACAGCGGCCATTCTGAACAGTAAGTTTTGTGTAGACAGACAATAGCCATGTAGAGGCTATGAGTTGGCGGAGTGATAATACAGTGAGTAGAGTGCATACCTTACACGTGGCCAACCTGGGTTTCATCCCCAGCATCCCCAAAAGTTCCTTGTCCACCACCAGGAGTAATTCCTGAGTGCAGAGCCAGAAGTAACCCCTGAGCATTGCCGGGTGTAGCACCAAAAACGCAAAAGAAGAACATAATGAGATTTCCAAGTAAAATGACAACTTGAATAACCACCTGTCGTTTCAATCCATGCTGAATTGCACCAAAACGATAGCAAAGGTATTTTCATATAAGTAGCACAAAGCCCCATGAGCAAGGGGACCCCAGGAAACACAGACCCAGAGCACGCTTGTCCCCCCATCCCCCACCCCCCATTGTAAGCAGTGCTGGTGGGAACCTGTTCCAACCTCAGGTCCCAGGGCTGGAGTCTCATGGGGAGTTGTCGCTGGTTATCTGCAGATGCCCCAGAGGCACCTAAGCAGCTGCGTGCATTCCTTCTCCACACTCCTTGTGCCTTTGTTTGCACGTGGGCCTGCCTAATACCCCAATTGTGGTGACCCTACTGTCTTTGCAGCCTTGCTCGTGACCTTTCCCTCAGATTTCACCAGAAGAGGTTCTTGTAAACAAGTTAGTTTTGCCTTGGGAAATTTCTTCATTAGTGACAGTATTGCTCTTTTGCTCCTCCTTGCTGGGTTTCCAAAGACAAACTCTGCCATTTGGAATCCACACAGGGGATAAAGCTCTAACGAAGACAGGGTTGGTCCAGAGTGCAAGGAGAGGGGCTGGGTTCACCGGCCAGGTCCGTGTACATGCAGACCTTGACCCTGTTGCCAGCCCCGGCTCTATGGCCCTCCCCTACACCTCCACCCAGCCAGGCGTCCTTGTGGAAGCTTCAGAATATTTCTAGGATGGTTCTGGTGGCTCCTGGGTCCTCAGGACCCACAGCATTGAGCCTCTGACCTGGTTGGCCATATATAGCTGGAGTGGGTACCCGAGCACCTGGGGCAGGGCCCCCGTATCTACCTCCCAGGGAAGATAAGGACTGCTGGGCTGGGATATGTGTTGCTGATAAAGTCCAGTTTCTTACAAAACCATTATAGTTTTGCATTAAAAAAATCCAATGGGGCTAGCGCTAGAAGACTTAGTTGCCGTGCGCGCAGCTGACCTGGGTTCTGTCCCCAGCACCTCGTATAGTCCCCTGAGCATAAAGACAGACCCTGAGCACTCCAGGGGTGGGGGTAGGGAGAGACAAACTAGGATGAAAGAAGATACCAGCAATGACAGAACAGTAACCTCAAGGACCTAGGAATAATTTAGCAAGAGATGTGAAGAAATCATTGAAGCTTCACTAAAGGACCAGCCCAGAAGTAGGGCACTCGCCTTGCATGTGTGGGGCCCTTGGTTCAACCTGTGGCACTGTGGAGGGTTGGAGGGGGGTAGCTCCACCAGTTATAAAGGCTTTGGGGGCCAGAAAGACGACTCTAGCCGCTGATGACCTGCTTGTGATGCAGGAAGCCCAGGGGCCAGCCCCAGCACTGCACGTTCCCCTGAGCACTGCCATGTGTGCACCCAAGAAAGATATGATGTGCTTGAATATATGTATTGCATTTTCTAACTAGAGCACATATTATATTAATACTGTTGATTTGCTGTCAGTATTAACTTCTGTGGTGATTAGGATTTGACTTCAACTGGAAAAAATTAATGTGAAAGTACGGGTCAGTAGATTTACAGAAGGAATAGAAAGCTAGGAAGAGCCTATTTTGAAACTACAATAGCCAAAACAATATGTACTGAAAGGAAGTAGAGCAGTGAAATCGAACAGGGCATGCAGAAACATGCCAGAACGTAAGTGGGAGTGTAGCTGAAAGAGAACCATGCAGATCCTTGTCTCTCAAAAGAGTTAGATAAATGAAGATTTTTTTTTTCTTAAAACAATAGCAGAAAGCGTCAGTAAGAAAACATGGATTAATTTATGCTTTTGTTGTGATACTTTCTTTTTAAACAGATATTAAGCCCAGATGCCATAGAGGAAAAAAAAGTGGATATATGTATTTAAAATTCTGAGTGGAAAATAATATTATAATCAAATTCAAAAGACAGATGGCAAACTGAGGAAAAATATTTGCACCACAAATGGAAAATTTCCTTAATTGACAAAGACCATTTATAAATGAAAAGGACTAATTGTCCAGTACAGACAAGACAAAGGATTTGAACAGGCATTTTGCAGAAAAATAAATATGAAAGGCCAGTAGACATAAGAAACGGTTATTCTATCATAATTGGAGAACTGTACATTAATGCAGTGGCATAGTATTTCTTCTCTCTCTCTCCGTTGGGCTCTTCATTTAAGAAAATAGTTAATGAGAATAATCCTCAGCGCAGGTGGGGCAGGCGGGGCGGCGTGGGGCTGGAAACGGCCGTGTGACACGCGCCGTTCTCCCCAGAGTCTGGTGTGCATTGCATCCCACACTAGAGGGCTGCAGGGCTCTGCCCCAGGTTCACCAAGAAAGGCAGAGTACGGTTCACCATAGCATGGTTTGTCAGAGTAGAAAAAACAGAGTAGGCCCCTGGTGCCAGGCAGCTGTTGGTGTGGAGCTGGTGCTGAGGCTTTCTGAGGCAGGGAGCTGTGGTGTGGCATCCCTGCCAGTCTGGAGGGGGTGGCCGTGTAGCGGTGCTTCCTTTCAGGGGTCTCCGGGCTGCCCAAGCAAAGGAAACGGAGCGCCTCCTTTGCATGGCCTTTTCCTGTTCGATGGTGGAGAGCACAAGAGAACTTTCCCACAATAGCTGACCTCCCCATTTGGCCACAGGGCTGCTCACTGACTGACCTACCCACCCAGGAAAAGGCAAAGCTTTTATGTGTGGTGAGGAGAACTAACATGTTTTCCTGAGCGCCCTAGCCACCGTGAGCGCCCGGCCTGTCTCTGCTTCTCCCCACAAGGCTCTGTGCTGGGCCCCACCTTGCAGAGGTGTTCCATACTGAGCCTACAGAAACGCTGGAAAAGTGCTCCTCGGCCCCGACATGTGGGGGTGTCATGGGAGGGTTACCTTAGCCGCCATCTATGGGACTTGGCCTGTTTCCAGTCTCGGGCCCGGGGGCGCTGTCCGCAGCGGTCAGGAGGTAATGGGCCTCCTGCTCCCTTTGCTTCTTTGAGTTAATTGTGAAGACTGGCATGAGTGCGGGGTGTTTGTGTTTGCTACGCTCCCGGCCTGGAGAGGAGGTTTTCTTGAAAGAAATCTAAAGAAGGATGGCTTTTGGTAAAGGGGTGAAGATTAAAAAAAAAAAAGCAAGAGATCATTAAATCCCTTAGCTTCTCCATCATGTAGTTGGCAGCAGGTTCCCTTAGTCTTTCCACAATGCTTTGCCTACGAGAAGGGGGTAAACCGACTCTCTGATGACCCGAGCTGCTGTCTTCGTTGGTTTCGTAGGTTTTGGTTAATGCTCCAGCTTATGGGAAAGAGCCCCCTGCACACAATCCTAGACTCATCGCCCTGATGCAGACTCTCTGCAGGCCTGACCCGTCTCCTCCTGCTCGTATCATCCGCCTCTGGCCTTGCCTGAGTTCCCTCAGCACTGTGACCCTTCCTTCCTAGCCTGCCCGTGGCACAGGATTGACCCCACTCAGGAGCCCTGTGTGGGCCGTTTCCCCCAGACCTGTGAACCTGTGTCCACAGACACCATGAATGCCTGAAAATCTCCTGCGCAACACAGGAAGAATCAGAAATCTTGGCTACTTGAATAAAATTAAGAATTGGTTGGTCCCTTTTCAGGGGAAGAAAATAAAGCATTCTTGAATAGATAACTAGTTCAATAAATTAGGGTTAGTCCATGCATTTAGTTATTTAAAACGTCTGTTTTTCCTGGTATAGAAAGATACCCTGGTGCAGTGATTAAAACTTAAGGAGTGAAAACTTGGGGCTGGTAGGGCTGGAGAGTACGGCAGGGTAAGGCACTTGCCTTGCACATGGCTGACCCGGGTTTGGTCCCCAGCACTCAAAATGGTCCCCTGAACAGCATTCACTGTGGCCTTCTTAAAACAGACGGGGGTGTGCTAGAGAAATATTTCAGAGATCCAAGGAACAAGTTTGATCCCCAGCACTCCTACTTTGACCTAGAAACTGCCTGCGTAATGGCCCTAAGCCCTGACGGGCCCAAGCCACGCCATGTCGAAACATCCAGCCTGGGTGACTCCTGTTAGGAGTCACCCCAGGGCCCCCTGAGCATTGCTTGGGAGGCCCCATGGAAGAGGACTGAGCAGGTCTGTGCTCCAAACTCAAGCTAACGAACCACAGGTGGTGTCTTTGAGAGCTTAGAGTGTATTGCCTGGAGCAGCCATGCAGGAAATGCGTCCCAACTATAAAGAGGTGTCCCTTTGTCAGGGTCCAAACTAAGAGGTATCCCCTTGTCAGGGTGGGCATGTGGGGAGGAGGGTGAGTTTCGTTCTTGCCTTTTCTGGCACTCTTTGATTTTTCTTTCTGAACTGATCCAGCTGGATTGTAAGATTAGAATAACCACCTTTTGTTTTTGTCTTCCTACGGTTCAGTGCTCTCTTTTTTTCTTCCCTCTTTTGTCAAAGTTAATGACATTTTATTTCTATCTTAGGTTACATAGGATGACATCGATTGAAAGAGAAGAAAAGGAGAAAGTGAAAAAAAAGGAGAAAAAGCAAGAAGAAGAAGAAACAATGCAGCAGGCTACCTGGGTGAAATACACATTTCCCGTTAAACATCAGGTAACTTGTTAGAATCTTTTATTTTTTTTTCCATCCTGTTCACACTGGGCCGTGCTTTGGGCACCTGGTCATGTTTTGGGACCATGTTGTACTAGGGATCGAATTCAGGTTTCCTGCATGCAGAGCATGGACTCCAGCCCTTTGAACCCTCTGTTGGTCCTGTAATCATAGAAAATAGTGTCAGTCAGGGCTGGAGAAATTGCACAGTGCGTAGGGTGTTTGCCATGCATGTGGCCAACCCTAGTATAATCCCCGGCACCCCATATGGTCCCCCAAGCACCACCAGCAATGATTACTGAGTGCAGAGCCAGGAGTAATTCCTGAGTGTTGCCAGGTGTCACCCAAAAAGATTTAGAAAAAAAAATCACAGTCATTTTTGAACTTTATTTTAGAACTATCAATTCTTTCTTTGTTTCTTTTTAAATTTAATTTTATAAACTTGTTCACAATAATTTATTACATTTAATATTCTAACTCCAGTCCCCCCACCGTGACTTCTTCCCACCACCATATTTCAATCCTGCCCCCAAAGCAGGACCTTAATAATTTATTTTGTATTGGTTGTTATGAATAAATCTAAAAATGATCCAAAAAGTTAGCAATGAATATTTTATAATTTTACTTTGGGTACAATCTCAGTGTAGTATAATATTTAATATACTGCATTTTTAAAATTAAGCTTAGATTTACGTTAGTAGACTATAGGTGTATATAATAATGATGACGGAACTATGATTTTGTTAAATTTTTCATATTAGAAGTAGAAATATTTTTGCATATACCTAAAAATATCACACTCGTAAATTTAATTGCCTTGCTGTTTGTTAAAAATTGCATAGCCACAGTGCTTTAGAAATCAGTCTCACCCGTTTTTAATTGGAATGTTTTTGTTCACACCAGGTTTGGAAGCAGAAAGGAGAGGAGTACAGAGTAACAGGCTATGGTGGCTGGAGCTGGATTAGTAAAACTCATGTTTATAGGTTTGTTCCTAAATTGCCAGGCAATACTAATGTGAATTACAGAAAATCAATAGAAGGAAGTAAGTAAAGCTTTCATTCATAACTATTTCTGATTTCTATTTTTTAAACCTTTTACGTAGTGTCTGTATTTTAGTGTTTTTCTGAAACTTTTAGTAGAACATTCAGAAATTATTATTTATGTTATACACTCTAAAAAGTCTTCAATATTACTTAAATTCACAGGATTAGATGTCTGGAATTTTATTTAAAACAAGATGAAAATGATAGAGCTTTTTAGGTGTTTGAGTTTTTTGGGGTTTTTGTTTGTTTTCTTTTTGGTTCAGAGCTCAGGATTTATTCCTGGCTCTGCACTCAGAAATTGCTCCTGGCAGTGCTCAGGGGCACCATGTGGAGTGCTGAATATTGAAACCTGGTCAGTTGCATGCAAAGCAAATGCCCTACCCTCTGTACTGTTACTCTGGCCCAATAGAGCTTTTTTTTGTGGGACCACACCTGGTGATGCTGAGGGGTTATACCTGGTTCTTCACTCAGGAATCACTCTTGGTAGAGATCTGGGAGCCATATTGAGACGCCAGGGATTGAACCCAGGCCAACCACATGCAAGGCAAGCACCCTACCCACTGTACTATCTATCTAGTCCTCCACCACTCACCCCTTTCTCCCACTTTTTTTCATGTTTGGGTCACACAGTCATGCTCAGGTATTTACCCCTGATGTAAGGAATCAATTCATTTGAACAAAAAAATAGGTTCCTACCGTGCTGGGTGCTTAGGATATTTGGGTTTAAATGAAGAAGAATACTTTCAGGAGCCAGATCTATCGTATGGTGGGGAGGATATTTACTTTGCATGCCACTGACCCAAGTTCAATCCCTGGCATCCCATATGCTCCCCTGAACACCTCCAGGAGTCATTCCCAAGTTTCTTTCATTCAGTGATACAGATTTGACTATTCCTAATCTGAGATTATGGATCAAAAGGGTATCCAAAATTTTATTGGAATTGATTACAGAATTTTGCATGTGCTCTTTTAATCTCTTGGTAGGGTTTCATAGCTTTTATTTAATCCTAATGCAGTTCTGTTACACAGAATATGTTACAAACCCTGATAGATATTCTGGGAACATACTGTTAACATATTGTTAACACGTTGAAATAATCTCAACATTACAAACCTCTAAAATTCATCTGAAATGTAGCTAGAATGTTCAAATTTGCCATAACAGTAGGGGTCAGAGAAAGAAGACAGGGTTAAGGCACAGGCCTGGTCTGCCATCAGACCCCAGTTGGATCTCCAGAACCACCTGGCCCCTCGGGCATCACTGGGTACGGCCTGCAGGTCCCCAGCACCCATCCTAAAGGTTTGGCATTAACCAATGGCCCATCTGGCTAAGACTTGTCCAGAGGGCGCCCCCTCCTGCCTCCCCTCCGCCGTGCCCCACCTTAAAAAAAAAATGCCCAGCTTAGCTCTACCCACACACTCATATGTTAAAATTTTCTGGGAAATAATTTGGTAATTTTCTCTAAGGTAGATGTATTAAATTGCTAATATTCAAGGCACCTGAAATTAATATAAATTTGGTCCCCTTTAGCCGTAAATAATATGGATGAAAATATGGATGAATCAGATAGAAGAAAAAGTCCACAAAGTCCAAAAAAAATAAAAACAGAGCCTGATTCTGAGAAAGGCGAGGTCAACGACCCTGATTCTACAAAAGGAACAGACCAAAGTGAGATGGAGATTTCAAGGGTAACTGAGAAGAAGGACCAAGGTGAGGCACAGCTTTGCGAAGGGCCCTCTGGGGGGCGACGGCCGTGCACAAGTCTAGCTCACACTGCTCGAGGCTACTGTATTATATCGATCAAAACATTCTTCATCGTTTCCCTTAATTCATTATTCAGGATGTACATGCAGCAGTTTGTAGTGTTTCTGTCCAGCTTGTCAGCCTCAACACTCCCATCACCCTCTAGGCGACCTCACGCACATTAGCTAAAGGCCCAGGCTCTCAGGGCATCCTGGTACTCTAGAATCATGTGGTACTTGGTGACTGTCTTGTTTTACCCACTGGCTTGTTTTCAAATTTCATGCACATATAGGGTATCTTCATCCTGTTTCCAAATAAGGATTTATCGTACACAGATTTCCCATATTTTATTTACCTATTAGTCAGTTGGTAGATATTTGGATTGTTTCAACTGTTCAGCTGCTACAAATAATGCTTATTTGGGGCTAGAGCGATAGTACAGGGGAGTGCACTTGTGTTGCACCTGGGTTCGATCCTTCCTAGCATCCCATATGGTTCCCCAAGCAGAGCCAGCAGTGACCCAGAGCATTGTCCCTGGTATTAATCTTTATATAAAGGTTATTCTGTATCCCTCTGTAGACATGCATTCGGGTCTAAGGACATAGGAATAAAATTAGCTTGGTCCTGCATCAACCTTTTTCTGGATTGTTTTGTTTTGTAGAAATTTTTATCAGTGAATTTGGTTATTTGTGTCGTTGCCAACCAAGTTGCCTTTGTTTGCCTCCTTGCTTCGTTGCTGTTCCTGTTGCAGTGACGTGGGGTGTCCCCTCCAGCGGTGGTACTTGCCTGGTGGGCTGTGATGCTCAGTAGGAATCTCACCTCCTGCTTCCAGTGCTTGTGTCCTCACTCCCCTAGGGCTTCTCCTGCTTTACTTGCAGTGCTCACACTCCCGGTTGTCGAGCTGCAGGCCCTGTTACCCGGATGCTTCAGCAGTGCAACACAGTTCCTCTTCAGCAGCCCCAGGGCTGTGCCTGACATCTCGAGCCCTCGCCCCGGGGTCCTGCAGCCCTCCTCTCAGCCTTATTTTGTCTTCTCTGAGAGTTTATCATTTGTTTTAACTAGGTCAGCTAAATCAGGGCTTCTTAAATGTTTTCCATGGCGAGTGCTGCCAAAATACACCTTGAACTCATTCCACAGTTGATTCTGAATTGCTTTTCGGTTATTGCACGTGGAGGAGCCTTATACTGTCCCCAAACTTAGATGATACGGGGTTGCAGCCCACCGTTGAAGAAGCTAGGAGCGAGGTCGAACATACCACAAGCACTCTACAAAGTCCTCCATGAAGTTCTGTAGCTTTTTGTCTACTAACTGTCAAAGGATGTTACGACTTACCATTCCTTCAGTTTTCGCTCCTAAGAACTAGAATATTTATGTATTTAAATATTTGGGGGGAGGAGAGAGAGAGGTGAGAGTGAGTGTATGTTTTGTTGGTCACATGTGCTGCGGCTTTGCTCAAGGGTTCCTCCTGGTGGGACTTGGGTGACTGTACTGGGTGACTGTACTGTACAAGGATCGAATCTATGTCAGTCCTATGCAGGGCAAGTGTTTTAACTGCTGGATTCTCTCTCCGGCCCCCTTATTTGTACTATTTCTTTTTTAACCTGTTGTAAAACTCAGCCCTGTTCATTGATCCTTTTTGACCACGTATCAAGAACTTTGAAATCGATATTTCTCTGTAAGCTCTTGAGTGAAAATAAGAAAAATTAATATTTTTTATAATAGAACATATTATGAGTACCACATGTCAGACTGAAACTTAACACTTCTTCAAATATCTCTGTTTTCACAGATGTAAAAGAAGTTATTGATTCTGACAACGATAAATCCTTCAAAGAAGAACCAATGGAAATAGATGATGTGAAAACAGAATCACATATAAATTGTCAGGAAGGGTCTCAAGTAGATGTGGTAAATGTTAGCGAGGGTTTCCATCTAAGGACTAGTTATAAAAAGAAAATTAAATCCTCCAAGCTAGATGGACTCCTTGAAAGGAGAATTAAACAGTTTACACTGGAAGAAAAACAGCGCCTTGAAAAAATGAAGATGGAAGGTGGGTGTAAGGGAACAGGAAAGACCTCTCCATGTTCTTTGAAAAGTCTTTCTGAGACCTCAGGGACAGCAAAAGGAAAGGAAGCCTGTCAGGGTGACCGGCAGGAAACAGGCCCTGATGCTGGGGTCGAGAAATCGGAAGACTTGGCTCAGGCCTGCTCCCAGAAGGATTCCTTGATTCTGGGAGACAGTGATCCTGATCATGCCACGAATAAACATCATCCAAGAGATCAAACAGATGATGGCTCCATTCAGAGTCCAGAAACACAGTGTCAGAAAGAGAATTCTGTTGGCAATGACCGAGTTGAAAGCCTCTCAGGAACTGCCAGCACCGGCCAGGAGTCCATCAGGACGGACACAAAGGCAAGTGGTTTTCTCAGTGACGGCTCGAGACCAGCCGGCACCAGTGAGGCTGGTGCTTTGATCCACCAGAACAAGGAGGCATGCCCGCAGGAGGACAGCGATGCCATGCTCTCTCCTTCCCAGAGTCCCTCGCGCCCCTCAGGACCCAAAAGTACCGATGACAGAAATGTCCCACCACTGTCCAAGGCCACCGACCCGGGCGACTCCGAATATAACAGCGCTTTGGAAAACAGCTCCGATACTCTGTCCGTCCAGGACAGCAGTGAAGAGGACATGGTCATTCAGAACAGCAGCGAGAACCTCCCGGAGCAGGTGACTGAGGACACAATGCATGAGACCTTTCCAGATAAGTCCCCGGGAAACTGTGCCGACAGGATGCAGGACAAGGTGACAGAAGCAAACGGCCAGAAACGGACCTCAGAACCGAAGTTAGAGGAGAAACCGGTCAATAAATGTATCGATCAAATCAATCTGAAAGGTCTCACTGACAAAAAGAGCCATGAAACTCAGGAGTCTGAAAGGAGAGGCCAGCGAGGGGCGTCCTTACAAATCAACGGCAGAGACAATAAACCCAAAGTGTTTCTGAAAGGGACCCCCGAGAGTAAAGAAGGAAGTTGCGATATCGAGCCCAAGATTAATAACATAAATAAAAGTTTTTCTGAAAATGACATCAAGCCTTTGACAGTTCGTGATGCCGCCGTGAAGCCCTTCATGAATGGTGACGTGGTCATGGAGGAGCTTCATGAAAAAAACAACGTAGAAACAAAATCTTGTTTGCGGAGACCCTCGGGTGCTGACGGGGATGCCCCGGGGAGCCTAGAGCCCCGGGCGGCAGCTGATGCTAGTGGGGGTGTGCACCCAGCCACTCCCCCGCCACCGTGTCCAGAAGGCAGTGCCACCAGTCAAGTGGAGGACATGGAAGTGGAAACCTCAGAAACGAAGAAAAGCAGCCCGTCACCCGTTCCTTCCGGTGAGGAGTCGAACATCAGCAGTGACTTTGTGGATGAGAACGGGCTGCTTGCCGGGAAGGGTGAGAGCATCAATGGTGAGCCCCGGAGGAAAACCGTCATTACGGAGGTCACCACCCTGACCTCCACGGTGGCCACGGAATCCAAAACCGTCATCAAGGTGGCAAAGGGCGACAAGCAGACTGTGGTCTCGTCCACGGAAAATTGTGCCAAATCCACAGTCACCACCACCACGACCACGGTCACCAAGCTGTCCACGCCTTCAACGGACAGCAGCGTGGACATCATCTCCGTGAAGGAGCAGAGCCGGACGGTGGTCACCACCACTCTCACAGACTCCCTGACCACAGCCGGGGGCACGCTCATCACATCCATGACCGTGAGCAAAGAGTACTCCACACGTGACAAAGTGAAGCTCATGAAGTTCTCGCGGCCCAAGAAGACGCGTTCAGGTACCGCTCTGCCATCCTATAGAAAGTTTGTCACCAAGAGCAGCAAGAAGAGCATATTTGTGTTGCCTAACGATGACTTGAAAAAGTTGGCCAGAAAAGGAGGAATCCGAGAAGTCCCTTATTTTAATTATAATGCCAAACCTGCCTTGGATATATGGCCGTATCCTTCTCCTAGACCCACCTTTGGGATCACCTGGAGGTACGTTCTTCAAAATGTATTTGGGCAAGGGAGGAGATTTTAAAAGAGATTTATAATAAGAAAAATGTTACAGAGTTATGAGGGAAAGTTGGTAGCTAAAATCATAATGGACGGAAGAATCACAAGTGTTTTTAGCTTGGCCAGCTGGTAGCTATGCAAGTTTACTTAGAGGGAAATATTTAAAGAAATATAAGATGAAAATGTAAGGTAGAAAGAAAATAAAATGAAAATCATTTTTGCAGGAGGAAAAGGAGCATGTCAAGCATGAATGTTTTTGTTGTCTAACTTTACGAGTTATTACTGTGTGTTTGCTCTGGGAATTAGATCATCAGAGATGAGTAATGTTTGTATTTCAATTCTGTTAGGGGATTCATAAGAAGATAAGCCATAAGAAATGTGCCGTTAATCATACACTTCCCCATGATGTACATATGTCACGTATTGCATGATAAACACTTCTGGAATTCTGTTCTGATACAAGAATTAGTATCTTGGGTCCGGAGCAATAGCACAGTTGTTAGGATGATTGTCTTGCACTCAGCCTACACAGGTTCACCACCCCACATCCCATATCCTGCCAGGAGTAGGCCCCGAGCACCGCCAGGCGTGGCCCTCTCTAAAAAATTCTGTGGTTTTTTTTTAATTCCTTAAACCCAGAAATAGCCCTAATTGAACATTTTCTGGGCACTAAACTTTGAGGATGAGTCATAAGTGTATCGTATCTTGTAGTATCATCATAGGGAATGAATCTTAAAAATTCTTCTCAGGTATACATGAATATTAAGTTTCTTCTGACCATAAAGGGACAGAGTTAGGAATAATGCCCAGTTTTTTAAATACCAGTTCAGTACTTTTATCTACTTTATCCATTTCACAACTTTGTCCTTGCCATGTCCTTGCCATATTATATTTTCCCCCTGATGACTATTAAGGTTAGAGAAACGTTGAAAGGGTGAGAGTTCTGTGGGACATGCTCACACAGCCGGAGTAACCTTGGGTGCAGACAGGTTTCGCAAGGGTCACGAAACGGTCAACCTCAGCAAGCAACTGAGCTTTCAAAGCTCATTTCTCAGTAGGGTTCATTTCTGTGTGTTATTTGTTACATTGGAATCATCCTGTTTTGTTTACTACAGATGGCTAGTATGAGCAGAGACCTCCCCGCCCCACCACGAATGTAAATGAGTATTCTCTAGTGGAATTAATTGATAAATTTGACCAATCATAGTGTGTTTGACCAATTTTTTTATGACTCACCTTTTGATTTGATTTCAAATATCATCACTCCATGACACATTCAATAGAGACAGCTGAAAAGTACAATTTCTCTGCAGGGCCTGCAATGAAGGATTTGCAGAATCCTGCAGGGAATCAAGGAACTCTCTCTCCATTACAGTTCATGGATTTGTAGGATTACTCTGCACTTTTCTGCTTTCTTCATTGAGAGCGGTCCCCAAATGTACCCTTCCTGTCCTGCAGGTAACTTCTTTCCCCCTGAAAAAGTTACTGTGTACAAATGCACCACTCAGAGCCACTGGGCAACTGTGAAGACTGAGCTGTCTGCTCTTCCCTAGTCAGCCCAGCAGGAGAGCTATTTTTTTTCTCTTTTTGGGTCACACCCAAAAAAGCACAAGGGGTTACTCCTGGCTCAAACACTCAGAAACTACTCCCGGCAGTGCCCGGGGGACCATATGGGATGCTGGGAATCGAACCCAGGTCGGCCACGTGTAAGGCAAATGCCCTACCTGCTATTCTATCGCTCCAGCCCCCCAATGGGGATCTTTGCTCCCCACCAGTTCTGACCAGGTGTTGCCTGTGGTTAGTGTCTACTAGCCTGGCCATAAGGAACCTTGAATTAACTACAGCTTCTACCTGTTTTAATTTCTCATGTTTTTTTTTTTGTTTGTTTGTTTTTTTGTTTGTTTTTTTCCCCACCCCCCTAATTTCTCATGTTTTAATGAAGGGAAATACCTTCTTGTACATTTTAAATGCTTGTTTTTTTCAGATATTGGCTAATAACATCTTAATCTATATCAAAGTTGAGGATAATGTCATACTTTCGATATAATGGAGGCATGGGTGTATAGATGCATATATATTTACATGTATGTGTTATTCTTGAGTCTAGAATGCACTTTTAAAAACATGAATCCCTATACAAAAAATCATACATGGGAAATTCATTTTTATAGTCACACTTGGATACAGTAGGTCTGATGCTTGCAGTAGAAGTTGCGATCACTCAGGGCCCATGTATGATCTTCAGTAACTTTATATTCAGGTTGAGCAGCCTGGAGTGAAAAACTGGTCTCCTGGGCTCATTAGGACTTCCTCGTCTCCTGCACCCTGCTCCCCAGGCATTGATTCTGTCATTGTCACTGAGCAGTAGGGCTGTCTCTGTTGTGCCGCCAGAAAGACCCGCCTCCCGTGCCAGGTCTCCTGTGAGTGAGCAGGTGCGAGTGGTAGTTAGGACATGATGATGGCCGCAGGGCGGAAAGTGTTGGTCGTCTCTAGCCCACGTCTTGGAAGAAGGTGGGCTTCCTTGTTCATCCAGCCCAGCCCTGGACCCTTTTCAGAGAGGCCTTACTAGGGATCATCTTGAATCTTTCTTTCCTCCTCCCAGCTGGTGCTGTATGCTCCGGCTTCTGCCATCTCTCCTTACACCTGCATCATCTGCTGGGCCTCCCTGGGCCTCCCCGCCCCTCCCTGCCAGCCAGGACACACCAGGCATGATTTCTGAGATGGGTGGGTGTGCTTTTGCACACTTTCCTCCTAAGGAGTTGCCCTTAGCTTCAGTCAGCTGTGCCCACATCCTGGTTTTTGGAGACGCCAGGAAAGCTCTATTTCCGCCCCTTAGGTCTTTCAGGTGCCCCTTCCCGTTGCTTTCCTCTGCAGCAGCTCTGAGCACTGTATCCCCTACTCCTTTCATTGGAGGTACACCAGTTTGGGGGTTGTTTTTTTGTTTTTGTTTCTTTGGCGTTTTTCCGCTGACAGGGCTCTAAAGCCAAGCCCTACACTTGCAAGGCATGTGCTGTATCACTCTGCCAGACCCTAAGCTCTCAGATACTTTTTGAATGTTTTAGCAAACGAAGAATGAATGAATAGACTGATGATATGTGAGGTTGCCCGTTACCTGGTGCTATTTCCATTAGAAAATAGGGAGGGGCGCCAGGGCTGGAGCATTATAGTACAGCAGGAGGGCGCTAGCATTGTACACAGCCAACCCAGGTTCGATCCCCAGTAATATAGGGCCAGACCTCGAAGTGCTCGGGGGACCATGCAGTATGGGAGGCTATACAGCAGTCTACCACTATAAGGCAGGTGTCTTAACCTCCTTCCTCATCTCCAGCCCCAAATACGGGTGCTTTAAAGTTGTTTGACCCTATAGGTGAGACTAGAGAGAGGATGAGAATGAACTTTTCTCCCCAAATAAATAGTTGCTTTACCGCATGAGTCTGGGCTGGAGCGATAGCACAGCGGGTAGGGCATTTGCCTTGTATGTAGCCAAACATGGCCGACCCGAGTTAGATTTTTTTCCCACCCCTCTCGGAGAGCCCGGCAAGCTACTGAGAGTATCTCACCCACACGGCAAAGCCTGGCAAACTACCCGTGACGTATTTGATATGCCAAACACAGTAACAAGTCTCACAATGGAGATGTTACTGGGCCTGCTTCAGCAAGTCGATGAACAACGGGAGGACAGTGACAGTGACTCCATGAGTCCAGAGTTCCCTCAGTCTTTCTGCTGGGTATATGGTCTGGGAGTGACAGACATGCTTCCTCTCATTCATCCCTGCAAAGCTCCTGAACATTTTCTCTCTAACGTAACAACCATGCTAAGTCAGAGGATTCCCAGGGTGATGCCCAGTGAAGAAAAGAGTGATGTTGTAGACGGAGTGAGGGGAAGATGAGAAATTAATTGCAAGGATGAAGCGCTGGCTCAGAGGACTGGTGTGCATGCGTTGCACTCGAGGCTGTGGTTCCAGCCCTGTCACTGCTCAGAAGAGCCCGAGGACACACTAACAGGGGCCCTGAGCACCACCGGCTGTGTCTCCCGAAACAGAAACTACAGCATCTTTTTCAGCGAAGACCTTTTTGTCTCATAATGGCATGAGTTGAAAGCTTTGGGGCAGGGAAGAGAGTATAGGGGTTCTTTGACCTCGCCTGCAGCTGATCCGTGTTTGACCTGAACACATACATGGTGCCCTTAGCAGCACCAGAGGAGTGACTCAGGAGCACAGCCAGAAGTGAACCCTGAGCACCACAACTGTGGCCCCAGCAGAACAACAAAGAACTTTAATAAAAAAGAAAGCATTGCCTTTAAATGCAAATAGTCCAAAATTTATCTTTGGGCAGCAAGAGGAATAGGATAGCAGTTTATGCTCTTGCCTTGCGTGTGGTTAACCCAGACTCCCTAGCTCTCCACATGATCCCCCAGCCCAGCCAGTTGTGACCCCTGAGCACTGATGGGTATAGACCCCACCCCACTCCCAATAAAATCATTTCTTCTTTGACATCTGTTAAAGGAAGAAAAGTAATTTTAAAGATTTTATTGCAGTCAACCAATATATTCAGGTGTATAGAACTCCCCAACAAATTACTAAATGTTAACAGTAGAGAATTGTTAACCTAGAGTGCTTTAATATGTCCCATAGTAAGCCCATTTTTGGACTTGATATTCATTGTAGTTATAAATTCATTTTGAAGTATGTTTTTAAAGTATCTAAAATGTTTCATTTACACACAGAACCATACGATAAAGATTTCTGTGTCTTCTGATTAGCAATTAATACAGCATAGCCTGTTTTTAGGACAATGTATTACAGAATTGTATTCCATCGTTATATTATAGAATTCCCAGATACAACCTGGTTTGTTTGGTTTGGGTTTGTTGTTGTTGGGTTTTTTGTTTGTTTGTTTGTTTTGTTTTGTTTTGTTTTATTTTTGAGCAGGAGGCCATACTCTGTACTCAGGGCAGAGGCTCAGGGACCATCTGTATTCCTGGGCCTCAGCTCCCAGAGCAAAATCTTTCCTGCTGTTTCAGCTCTCCACCTCACACTGGTTTTATGTTGTCTGCACTAGTAATCATCTGGTTTGCACAATTGCCATTTGGGCTCAAATAGTAATTTTCTGTCCACTATGTATTTTGATTTTTTTGTTTCACTTCTTTGAGACAATGTCAACATTTTCAGTTCTTTTCTTTCTGCAGAAATAGTTTAGAATTTGTACTGCAAAATTCTTTTGTCACATTTAGCAAAAAATTATTTATTTCTATTTTGTCACGTTTGCTTTGCACGTGACTGACCTGGCTGACCCGGGTTCGATTCCTCTGCCTCTCTCGGAGAGCCCGGCAAGCTACCGAGAGTATCTCGCCCGCACGGCAAAGCCTGGCAAGCCACCCTTGACGTATTTGATATGCCAAACACACTAACAAGAAGTCTCATAATGGAGATGTTACTGGGCCCGCTCTGAACAATGGGAGGACAGTACACAGTGCACATTTAGTCACGATAATATGTTCGGTAGAATATTTTGTCTTTTATTTTTGGAGCTGCACCTGGTTGAACGCAAGGATCTCCTGGTGAGGCTCTGGACACCATACATGGTATCAGGGATCAAGATTTTCAGCTGTGAGCAAAACCAGAGCCTCCCGCCATACTCAACCCAAGCATGTATTTTGGAATTTGGCTGAATTTATATAATATTCATAAATAGTTGTTGTATCAGTCTGATAATGAGACATGCTCATTTTATGAGTCTGACATTTGAAGTGGCTTCTGTTCTTTTGGTACATGTTAAGCCTACTACCAAAAAACCAGTTTTTCTGTGACATAACATATAATCTAGCCAGAGTATAGGACACGGGGGTTCAGGCATTTGCTTTGCACATAGCAACAATTTGATCCTTGGTACCCCAGATGTCCCCCTGAGCACAGAGTCACGAGTAAGCCCTGTACCGTTCTTAGCCCAGTCCCCCTCTCCCCTCCAAGTAAAATGAAAAGTATAGATAATACCTGGAAACTAGGGACACGTGATGGACAGTGCTTACAAGCCCTCAGAATAAACATTAAAGTGATGCCACCAAGGCAGGAAGAGGCCCGCCGCAACCCTTTCCTTCATGTGTGCTGTTGGTCTTCCCTCCAGGTACAGGCTGCAGACGGTGAAGTCTTTAGCAGGCGTGAGCCTCATGCTGCGGCTGCTGTGGGCGAGTCTGCGTTGGGACGACATGGCCGCCAAAGCCCCCCCGGGAGGGGGTACCACGCGGACAGGTGAGCAGCCAGGCCTGGCTGAATCCTATGTTAAAAGTTTTTTTTTTTTTTTAAAGTAAATAGAAAAAAGGTAAAAAAAGGTAAAGGCCCTCCCGTTGATCATCGATTTGCTCGAGCGGGCCCAGTAACGTCTCCATTGGAGACTTTGTTGTTACTGTGTCTGGCATATTGAATACTCTCGGTAGCTTGCCGGGCTCTCCGAGAGGGGCGGAGGAATCGAACTCGGGTCGGCCATGTTGGCTGCGTGCAAAGCAAATGCCCTACCCGCTGTGCTAAAAGTCAAATAAAAAAAAATACTTTTAAAGTTAAAAAAATGCAAAATTGAAGGGAAAAAAAAACACTGACTAATTCAATTCAGTGTAATTCAAAGACCCCGCCTTGGAGCGTGGGCCGGCCCTGGCCCCAGCAGGGAGGGCTCTTTCTACAGTGAGGCTCTTAGGATGATCCCAACCCTTCCAGAAGACAGAAGGGAGGTCGCTGAGACAGGCGCACGTCTAGAACTCACGTGCTGCTTCCAGCCACCCACCTGGGAAGTCTTCCTGAGGGACATAATGATTGTCGTTGCGATATGCCATCGGGAACAGAGCTGCCTGCACATGACGTTTTTCTTGTTTAGAAATTATAAAAAGTTCCATTGAGGAAGAAACTGAGAATAGTTGCAGTCTAACAATGACGTTAAACTCATGAATTGATCAAATCCTTCCAAAGGTGTATTCCACGTTTGCCTCTCAAAAGCACCATGTGTTAGACATTGTTAGTCTCTTAAGTATTTTAGATGATTACTAATACTATGTGAATTCAATCACCATAGAAACATCTGAAACTGAAATCACAACAACCGAAATCATTAAGAGGCGAGACGTTGGTCCTTACGGCATTCGGTCAGAGTACTGCATCAGGAAAATCATTTGCCCCATTGGAGTTCCAGAAGCACCGAAAGGTAAGGGGTAGGAAGAAGGCATTTTCTTTTCTTCTTTTTCTTTGACTTTTTGGATCATACCCAGTGATGCACAGGGATTACCCCTGGCTCGACACTCAGGAATTACTCCCAGTGGTGCTGGGGGTATAATATGAGATGCCGGGGATCAAACCCAGGTCGAACACATACGGTAAACACTCTACCTGCTGTACTGTCACTCCGGCCCCAAGAAGGCCTTTTCTTTCTTGTTTCTCACCTTTTACCACAATCTTTTGATTTGGTCATAATTGTTTTCTTTGCTCTTCATTCAACTTTTGGAAAAAACTTTAGTAATTGATAATGTAGCAAGATCACATTAGGCAAAAGATGTCTGTGGGCATCCAGAGTTCTGCGGGGCCAGAGACCGTGGGCTGAGTGCGTGTGATTGGATCAGGCTCAGTCTCCAGAGAGCTTAGTCAAACCCAGGTGCTGCAGATGTGGCCATCAAAACTCAAGGAAACATTTCTAGAGAACCTGCCTGACAGGTCCTAGGTAACCAATACTTAGAAGAATGGAATCCTGCTCTTATGCTCCGGCAAGGTAAAGGTTACAGTATTATATTGCTAAGTATTAAGTTAAATTTCAGTAAGATTAGAAAGATTAAGAAGGGCTGATTCTGGGAAAGGCAAGATTAACACTGTCTTGCAAATAATTGTGAATGTCTGCCTAAAAAATCATTCCCTCATTCAACATATATAAACAAGTCAATAATTTCATTGTTCTGAAAATACTCAGGGACAAGGCCTTTTAAGAAATATGTAATATAAACGACTGGAGAGGTCACCCTAAAGTCAGAGTGCATGCCTTGGCATGAGGGGCCACAGACTCAGTCCTGCCACCACGTGGTCCCCAGCATTGTTCCCGGACTAACTTGTAAAAAGAAAATGGCTATCCAGACCACAACACCCAAAGGGAAAGAGAGAACAAAAGGGAATGCCCTGCCACAGAGGCAGGGGGGATGGGGGTGGAGGGATATTATCCATGGTGGTAGAAAATGGGCACTGGTGGAGGGATGGGTATTTGATCATTGTATAACCGAAACCCAAGCACAAAAATTTGTAAATCTACAACTGTACCTCATGGTGTTTCACTAATAAAAATTTAAAAAAAACAAGAAAGAAAGAAAATGCTATCCTTCAATAGAAGTACCCTGTTTTACTGAACTTGGTCGCCTCCAAATGTGTAGGTTTAATTTTTGAAATGACCAGCTTTCTCTTAGGATTACAGTCGGACTCAACATTCATGCCTTAACACAGTCTTTTGTGTTTGTTTTGGGGGGTCACACCTGGCAATGCTCAGGCTTACTGCTCCACACTCAGGAATCACTCCTGGCAATGCTTGGGGGACCATAGGGGATTCTCGGGATCAAACCCAAGTCAGCCATGTGCAATGCTACGCTAACAGCTGCTGTATTATCTCTCCTGCCCGCTTAACACAACCTTCTTTGTACTCTTAGCATTCTTCCAGAAAACTTTCCTTAGTATGCCCTCCCTAACCACTCTACTTCCCGGTGTTACACTGCTTTCCCCAGCACACACCCAGCCCTGGCCCTTCTCACACAGACTGCGGCTTGGTGGACCTGATGCTGCCGCCTTTCATACCTAAAGCCCAGGGTGGTTCGGAGCACTCACCAGTCTTGCAGAGGTGGTATTTGTAAGGAAAACAAGCCAGAAATGCTGTAATATTAAAAAGTATTTCTTTTCCAAAGAAACACCCACGCCTCAGAGGAAAGGCCTCCGATCCAGCGCCTTGCGGCCTAAGAGACCTGAGACACCCAAGCAGAGTGGCCCAGTGATCATCGAGACCTGGGTAGCCGAGGAGGAGCTGGAGCTGTGGGAGATCAGGGCCTTCGCTGAGAGGTACGCGGCAGCCCTGCAGCCGTCGGCCTCGCTGCTGCAGAATTAGGGAATCTCCCATTCATGCTGCTGTCCCGTCTGGCTCCTTCCACCTGTTGACTATAAGTGCTACCTATGTAGAGAGCATATTTTTCATTTGATGGGTTTGTATCCAGTTGTTAATTTCTAGTGAAAGTGTTTTTGCGTGCTTATTTCATCTATCAGTCACCATGATTTCATGATGTGGAAATCAACCAAATTTCATTTACTATTAGATGCCAGCCGTTGGCAGGGTAGTTTCTGACGAGTTCCTCTTTTTTATTCCCCTGCAGAGTGGAGAAAGAGAAGGCTCAGGCGGTGGAGCAGCAGGCTAAGGTGAGTGACCGGCAGGGCTGGAGGTGGACCTCAGGCATCAGCAGTTGGCTGCCTGTTGAGTGGGCACGTGGGTACTGGTGCCACCAGGCAACAAATTGTCAGTATTTAGCCAGATTCATGTGCACCAAAAGCTTAGCGATTATATTGTGTACTTGTGTTTGTTGTTGTTCTTTTAGGAAGAGGAGGATGGGGAGGTTGGGTTGGTTCTTCGGTGTTGTCAGTGAGCAAATCCCAGCCGCACACATTCGGATCATGTGTTCTTCCTCTAAACCCGATCCCTGGTCTGACTCCCTGGGTATCTCCGTTGAGCTCTTCACATATATCTTCCCTTTTTTGCTGGAAATGAGCTAGCCTTCCACTGTTTTAGCAGCTTGCAGATGCCAAGCTGTCCGTTTGCAAATTGTGCACGCTGATTTTATTTTTTTCATGCAGAATCAGTTGATAAAGGTTCTGTAGTCTTTGAAGAAACTAATACACTAAAACTCTGTAAAGATTTCGTTATAATTGATGGTCATAAAGATACTGGCGTCTCATTTTTTCCACACTATAAATAGTATGCCATATTATTTATGTGCCAGAATATTCACATAAAAGAGGATTACTCCCCTATGTTGGTTAAGAAGATAGTATGAATGGGTTTAGCCGACTGAATTCCAGGATGGAGATTGGGTAGATATCTGTTTCTAGTATTAACTTAATACTAAGGGCCAGAGGGTCAGCTGGAGGGACTCCAGCCTGTGCAGAAGGCCCCTGTTTAGTCTAGGGCACTGTGTAGTTCTTGCGCACCATCTGGAGTCACCCCTGCGCACTACCATGTGTGGCCTCCAAATAAAACTGAAAATGATAGCATTAATTGGTTACACATGGCAATTGTCCATGCCGGGGTTGGGCCGTGGAAATAGCACAAAGGTCAAGGTGCTAACCGAGCATGTGACTGCAGCTGTGACCCGGCTTTAAATCCCAGTACTGCGTATGTGTGCAGTGACCAGGTCTGTTCCCAAAGTAGAAATCAAGTGTGACTTCTCCAAAAATAAAGTATATAGTAAATGGAGCCGGAGCAATAGTACAGCAGGTAGGGCACTCGCCTTACATGCAGCTGACCAGGGTTCAATCCCTGGAACCCCATATGGTCCCCCAAGCCCACCAGGAGTGATTCCAGAGTACAGAGCCAGGAGTAACCCCTGAGTCCCCCTCTGGATATGGCTCCTGTCTAAAAAAAGAGGAAAAAAAAAATAGAAGTCGGGGAAAATAGAAACCATGCACCTGTCCGTGGTTTACTCCTCAGCACCACACATCCTCCTGACATCACAATCACCAGCCACAACTCTGAAGACCCCCAGGCACCACACAGTGGGGGCTTCCTGCTGGTCCCCAGCCCACAGGGCCTAAGGAGCACCATCCTCAGGTGCTAGTGTGAGTTGAAAGGTTGGTTGACGGGGTCTTGCCAGGAGTGGTCCCTCAGCATCATTTGGAAGCCACCCCAACCAAAAAGAATTAATTGTTTTAAAAATAGTATAGGGGTAAATGATGTAACTCAGCAGTTGAGCACTTGACCTTTTTGTATGAAGCCCTGAGTTCATACCCCAGATCCACAAAAAAATTAAATATAGATGTATATATACTCATAATTCATATATATGTATTGCAATCCAAAGTATTTGTTTGAAACTTTTTTTTTCTCCTTTTTGAATCATACCCGGCGGTGCACAGGAGTTACTCCTGGCTCTGCACTCAGGAATTACTCCTGGTGGTGCTCAGGGAACCATATGGGATGCTGGGAATCAAACTCGGGTTGGCTGTGTGCAAGGCTAACGCCCTACCCGCTGTGTCATCGCCCCCGTCCCTCAAACTACTTTTTCTCCAGGGAAAATAAACGAAAATTACATTTTTTAAAATTTCTTAAGTGTCTTTTACATTGATTCACTTTAGGACATTACTTTTGCTTAGGGCAGAATTTGAGATAACAGCCCCAGAATTTATCCCTCTGTCTAGCCACTCACCTGGTACGTCATCTTGTTTCTTCCTTCTCATGTTGTGTTACCCATATCTCGGTGCTGTCATCTCCAGTGTCAGTTTGTTTCTTTGGGCTGGAAAGAGCACAGCCAAGTCTAGTCAGGTTCCCAGCAGTGCACGGGGCCACCAGAGCACAGCCACCTCGGGCAGCCCCATATTCAGTGATGTTTGCTTAGAGACTATTTCCAGGGTTTAGGGTTTTTGTTGTGTGTGGCCCACCCCTAGTGCACTAGGGAATCCTTCCTGGCAGGCCTCATGGCGTGAGGGCGGAGATGAGACCGGATTGTCCCGCAACCTGCTGCACCAGCCTCTGGCCCATAGTCCTTCCTGTTTCCGTCGTCGCGGACACCCCCAGGGCTGCACACATGCTGTTCCTGTGCTTGGCCGCTTGGCACATCCTTGGCACAGCGTTTCCAAGTTTGTTTATTTGTTTGTTTATGTTTGTGTTCCACACTTGGCGGTGCTTGAGGTCCATGTGGGGTCCTGGGGAGAGAACCTGGGTCCGATAAGTGCAAGGCAAGCACCTCACCTGCTGTACTGTCTCTATGACCACAGTATTTCCAGTTTGAAGGCCATACCCCCTTTCATTTGAAAAATTAGTAAATACATGTTTCGGGGGCGGGGGGGCTGGAGCGATAGCATAGCAGGTAGGGCGTTTGCCTTGCACGCAGCCGACCTGGGTTCGATTCCTCCACCCCTCTTGGAGAGCCTGGCAAGCTACCAAGAGTATCTCGCCCACATGGCAAAGCCTGGCAAGCTACCCGTGATGTATGTGATATGCCAAACACAGTAACAAGTCTCACAGTTTGTTGTGAGACGTAATTGGTGCCTGCTCAAGTAAATCGATGAACAACAGGAGGACAGTGCCACAATGCCAGTGCCATGTTTCGGGCGGCGGGGGCGAGGTTAACTCTTTTTTGGGGGGGGGTGTGGAGGAGAGCTAAGACCTGTCTTTCAGAGTTAGTGGTATTGAAAGTTTCTACACCCCCACTGAGATGCACAGCAATGAATATTTTATTTTTGAATAAGAAAGACGTTTTTATGGTCAGAGCAAAGCTGAGGATAAATTCTTTGGAAAGCAGACAGCGCCTACATGAGTGTTAAGGGCTTTAGGGCCCAGAGTCTAGGTCCCGCCAGGTGTACCTTCTCAGAGCAGAGCAGTTCTTGAAGCCTTTCCTACAGAGTGTGGACAGAAACTGGAGAGACACATCGGCATGGTGACAGGACTCTGCTCTTTCCTCTCTATCCACCTCTGCCACCCAGGGAGCAGGGGCCAGGGGAAGACACGCGAGAATGCGGCTTCTCCAGAGAGGAGATCCCAGCACACTGGCCAGCACTAGGGTGTGAAAGCCACACCGGCCACCCATGAATATGCTTGTCGTCAACACATGGTCCTGGTCAGTACATGGGCCCGGGCAGCACATGGGCCCAGGCAGCACATGGCCCGGGCAGTACATAGCCTGGGAGCACATGGCCCTAGTCACTACATAGGCCCAGGCAGCACATGGGCCCAGGCAGCACAAGGACGGATTTTTTTTTTTAAGCTTATCAATTCTAGGGATCAAACCCAGAGCTTCACACATGCAAGGCAGATGCTCTGCCTCCTCGGCTATATCTCTGACTTTTGATTTTCTTTTCTGTGTGCGTGCATGCGTGCGTGTGTGCGTGTGCATGTGTGTGTGTGTGTGTGCGTGTGTGTGGTTGTAGGGACGGGTTGGTGTGTAGAGGGGGGTGTGATTCAGGCCTTATCTGGTGGTGCTCAGGCATCGCTCATGGCGGTGCTCAGCATGCAAGGCAAGCACCTGTACTCTCTCTCCAGCCTAGACTTCACACATGCCAGGCACATGCTCACCAAATGAGCTCCAGCCCCTGTGGCACGTCCCTTGTGTTGTGGATCAACAGTACAGCGTGTTGGCGGCTTCATACCACCCCCATCATTTCTGCTTTTAAGTCTCAAGCTGACCAGGATGTCCTGGTCGCAAGGAAAGTCACTCATTTCTTTGCACTTTAGTCTGAGAGCTTGACTGGGCGCACCGTCTGGAAACACTTGGATGTGAATGTTTCTTTTATGAGAAAATTATTTGCAAGGAAATGTGGGATTGCCATATTCAGCAAATTGACTACAAAGATAAATTTATGTAGGAATATTCTCAAATGTAAAATATGGTCTACGTGTGTAGTTTCTTAGGGTGGCAAAGGTTCAGACTCCACTCTTTGGCAGAGTGATACTTTTTTATTATTGAGAGCTGTTTTGTTTCCTTTCACGCTTTCCTAGAAACGACTGGAACAACAAAAACCAACCGTCATTGCGGCTTCCACGTCTTCCCCGACCAACAGTACAACGAGCACCATCTCTCCCGCACAGAAGGTCATGGTTGCCCCCATCAGCGGCTCAGTCACCCCCGGAACCAAGATGGTGCTGACGACCAAGGTCGGGTCCCCCGCCACGGTCACATTCCAGCAGAACAAGAACTTCCACCAGACCTTTGCTACGTGGGTCAAGCAAGGCCAGTCCAACTCAGGTACAGGATGCTGTATAAAAGAGAGATCTTGTTCGTTCAGGAAAACTGTTTTCCATCCTGGAGCTACTGAAATGAAACATATCTTTAGAAAATTTGTGTCTTTTTTTTTCCTCCTGCAGCTTAATGAGCAAATAAACTGTAACGATTGACGTGTTACAGATGACGTTCATTGTCTTCCAGTAGCCAAACTCCTCTCACATTATCGCACTTTTAACATTGACATCATTCACTTACTTTGGAGAGGAATGTTTTTCTTTAAAAAAAAAAAAAAGACAAAAATGAGCCACATTTCATGCATTGGTGCCCTTCCTTGAACTCACTCCGTTGCTGGTTATTTTAAATGTAAAGCTTATTAAATGTCTTATACCCCATTAGCCACCAGCACAGCTGCCACCTCTGCTCCAACCATTGCCAGCACAGGGCAGACGTTCCAAATTACAGGCAGTCCAGTCACTATGGCAGGAAAAGTAATTACCAAACTGCCACTTCCTGCAAACAGCAAGATTGTCGCTGTAAATGTGCCAGCAACACAAGGAGGTAAGGGAGATGTGAAGAGTTTCAGTTCACATTTGCCAGCTCATACTGTTGCCATTATTTTTTCATTTCCTTTTCACTGATTTCAGTCTTCAGATTCCACATTCTGTGTAGCCCACTCTCAATCCCTGCCACACGTAGTTCTCCCTCAGAAACCCAGCACCCCCTGACGCTTCTATATTCAAACAGTCCCTCATTAATTGCTGCTTCATCTTCCTTTAAGGTGTTGTTCAAGTGCAGCAGAAAGTCCTGGGCATCATTCCGTCAAGCACTAGCTCCAGTCAGCAGACCTTCACGTCATTCCAGCCCAGGGCGGCCACAGTCACCATCAGGCCCAACACCTCAGGCGCTGCGGGAACCACGAGCACCTCCCAAGTAAGAACCCTGTGCAGCGCGTGTGCCGTCAACTCGGGGGTTTGGAGAACGGCTTCTCCCGGGAGTCATCCGTTTCCTTTTCGTCTGTGATAAGGGTCTGATAATGATTGTTTTTTGTTTGTTTGTTTTAAATTTTTTTTAATTGAACCACTGTGAGTTAGAGTTGCAGTTACTCATGGTTGAGTTTTCTGCATTGTCCCTTCAGCAGTGCCCTCTCCTCACCACCAACGCCCCCAGTTTCCCTCCTGTGCCCTGGCTTGCCTCTGTGGCGGGCACTGTTTTCCCTGCCCCCAACCCCCCTTTTGGGCGCTGTGGTTTGCCCTGCTCTTCCTGCCAGGGGGTCATACATGTCAGCAACCAGTCCTGGTGCAGAGTGACCGCTTCCCTCTGTCATTGTCATGGTGGGCCCTTCTGCGACCTGAGCCCCTCCCCTCCCCTCAGCACGCTTTCTGCAAGGACTCATTCTCCTGCTCTCTGGCTCTGTTTGCTCTGGGTGTTCGTTATTCCCTGACTGGGTCTCTCTGTATCCCATCCCCCTCAAGAGTAAGATTATTCTCTTTCCATCATATGCTTGTTTCTCCCAGCATGATACTTCCTAGATCTCTGCATCTATTAGCAATTTTTTTAATTATTATGTTTTTGTTAGAGATAATTCCGAGGATAGGGCGTTTGCCCTGCATGCATGCAACCCCAGTTCAGTCCCTGTCACCTTCTGTGGTGCCTTGAGTACTGCCAGGAGTGATCTCTGAGCACAGAGCCAGAAGTAAGCCCTGAGTATCGCCTGATGTGGCCCAAAACAGAAAGCAGGCAGGAGGTTCGAGTTCTGTCACAGCCTGGTCCCCCGAGTTGTGGACCATGCACAGGAGCAGCCCCCAAGCACAGAGCTGAGAGTAGCACTCGTGACTGCCAGGTGCAACCCAAAAAAATCAAAGTGTAACGTGCAAAAGACTGGTGATTTCTATAGACATGTTTATCAATGAACTGTTTTCCCCACCCCAAGATCAATGTTCTAATTCTCTACGTGTGAAATATCTTCAAACCCTTTGATTTCACTGTCCTTTGTGTCGTTTCCAGGTGATCACAGGGCCCCAGATCCGGCCTGGTATGACGGTGATTAGAACACCGCTCCAGCAGTCACCGCTCGGGAAGACGATTATCCGAACACCTGTGATGGTACCACCAGGTAGGCATTCATCCTTCTAGTGTTACCGCGCTCTAAGTAGCCAGCCTAAGCTATCTATAATACTCTGTATTTGGCACTGTACAGATGAGAAAATATCGACTTGAATTGAGGCTTCAGGCCTTACTGAATTTCAAATCCATCATGGGATCTTTCCATAGATACTCTCTCGTCCTTGGCATTGCCAGTAAAAAGAAAATAGGAGGTGGGGCAGAGCACGTAGAGATACGCCTTTATGCCTTGCATGTGCTCCCTGCCCCTGCTCCCACACCTCTGGGTGTAACCTACTGGCCCGTAATACCAAATTACCAGGCTTTATTTTCAGGACTCTGCTATGGAGCTCGCACCCCAAGGTGTGCCCTCTGGCATGGCTGGAGACAAGTTCCTGCAGGCGAAGAGGTAGTACAGTGGGTAAAATGCTTGCTGTACGTGTGATTGGCCCGGCTTTGGTTCTACACACCCCATGTGGTTCCCCTGAGCACTGTACCAGACCCCCAAGCACCACAAATAAAACAGGCAAACAAAAGTCCAGGTTTGCTTGTTTAAAATGTTTACTTGAGACTACTCATGGGAAGACGATGCCATTCAAATGAAAGAGCAAGTGAGCAAAGAACAACCGTATGGCAGAAGACAATTAGGGAACAGCTCAGAAGCATTTAAACAGAAATCAGAAAACAAGACTACAGAGATGCTGTGAAGCCCCTGTTTATCATTTGAAGTGGTTAAAGCTTCTATATTCAGCTGCATGCTGTAAACTTTGTATTGAAAAGCTTACCTGTGTGTTTGTGAGAAACACGTTAAAATCAATTACCACAAAAGATTGAGTATAAAAACATGGGACCCAGGGAGTGGCTCAATGACTTGAAACCTGCCATGACATATCAGCAAGCACCAAAACCCTAGCGTGCCCTGTTGTAGCCTGGACTCACGGCCTGCACCACTGCTAGGGTGCACCCAGGAGCCACAGTCAAGCACTGTGCAGCTAGCGGGTGAAATAAAGAATAAAAAAAAAAAAGATGATTGTAGTACTGATAAACTCCATTTTCCTCATCACCCACAGCAGGTAGGGTGTTTGCCTGGCACCTTGTATGATCCCCTGAGCCCACCAGGAGTGAGCCCTCAGCACTGCTTCCCCCAAAAAATTAGTGGGCGGGGGGGAAGGTGTATCCAGATGAGGAAATAAGGGCCTGCGAAAGGAAGGGGCATACGGTATTCAACACTAAGAGGCAGGGGGTTGGTTTATATGGCCGTATGAGAGGCAAGTGCCCTACACGCTGTTCTAGGGCTTTTCTGTCTCTCTCAGCGTACCTTCCTGTTGTGGAGGTGGCAGTTGAGATGACTGGAGTTCGGACACACTTGGTGCAGTTGCCTGCAGGTGTGCTCACGTGTGTGTTGGCTGCAGTGCACTGCCATCCCATGTCTGAGGAGCAGAGCCACTGGGGTGCTGCCCAGGCCCTGAGGCATGCTGGGTTTGAGCTGGCACCGCACCAGTCTCAGGATTACTAGAAGAAGGTTCTTCATCACTGAGCTATCACTCACTTCCCTAAATGTTAATTGGAACAAAGAAAAGTGTGCTTCGAAGGAATAGTGCGGTGGCCCGAGGCGCTTGCCGTGGGTCAGTGCAGATAGCCAGTTTTCCACTTGCACAAGCCGTCGTGGCTTCTCCACTGTTTGAGCATGGCAGCCCTGTGCTCCATGATCTGACCCCTGTACAGCCAGGGACGGGAGCCCCTGCAATCACCACAAGCAGCCGTTGGTGAGCACCAGAGTCTTCGTGTGCAGACACCGCAGCCCACAATCACTGTAGCAACATCACCAACAGCACAAAGGAGGCATGTCTTAGATTTATAGAGAGACAAATATTATATACGTGTGTCCATGGATATTATACTTGGACATCCTTTTTTCCCTTCCCCCCCCACCCCCCCCGCTTTTTGGTCACATTGGCGATGCTCAGGGGTCAGTCCTGACTCTGCACTCAGGAATTACTCCTGGCGGTGCTCAGGAGACCATATGGGATGCTGGGGACTGAACCCGGGTTGGTTGTGTGCAAGGCAAACACTCTGCCCGTTGTACTATCACTCCAGCCCTTATACCAGGACATCTGAAAAGGAACAGATAGAGGTAAAATTGTTTACGTTCACTTCAAATGTTGTACAATTCAGTTTTATTCTTTCAGTGAATGGTATAGCACAGCTGATAGAAGTTTAGTATCCCTGCTTAAATTTTCGTGTTAAGGGGCAGCAAGGAACGCTCCTGCCTTGCATATCCCTAACCAAGGTTCAGTGCACATGTTGTCTCCACAGCCCCTCCAGGAGTGATCCTTGATCTCAGAGTAAGCCCTGAGCACAGCTGGGTGTGGCACCAAACAGAGTTAAAATTTTCTTGCTAAAGAATTCAGCTTTAAAAAAAAGAAAGACAGCTAACCCATGTAGCTGTCAGCTAGAGAGATAACTAAAGGAAAAGATGATAACATAAAGGAGGAAAATATTCTAGATGATTAATGGTAATATACTTTGAAAATGGAAAAAGCTGGTGAATTGTCACTAATCACTTTTTACCTTGATGAAGAAAATATTTGTCAACATATATTTAAAAAAAAAAGAATTTTGGTGCCAAAGATAGAAATTAGGGCCTCAGCCAGAAACGGTCAGAGTGGAAAGTTCACCGAGCAGTAGCACAGGGAACAGGGCTCAGTGGAGGGGGCTCTGGCCTTGTGTGAGCCTCTGGGCCCAGCCCCGTACACTGCCAGCCGGTGATCGGTGTATACGTTGGGCCTTGTACCCGAAGAAATCAGGGTTGGGTGCTCTGACAGAACTTCTTTGATTGCTAATATATATTTTTATTTTTTAATTTATTGTTTTTTTTTATTAGTGAAACACCACGAGGTACAGTTATAGACTTACAGATTTTTGTGCTTGGATTTCAGTTATTCAATGATCAAGTACCAATTCCTAGTATATTTTGGTTTAGTGATTACACTCTATTGGCAGAGAAGGGGGTAAGAGGGTGGGGGGTGGGTCAGTTTAGATCTCTATTTGCCCTATGAGCATGGTAATATTGGGAAGATTAATCACGGGGGTGGGGGAATGATAGTACAGCAGGTAGGGTATTTGCCTTATGCACAGCTAACCCGAGTTCAGTCCCCTGCTCCTCTTATGATTCCCTGAGCCCCACAAGGAGTAAGCCCCGTGCACCACCAGGTTTGGCACAATAAAAAAAAGAAAATTGATTCTTTGTTATAGGGGATGATGAGTGTTGAGCCATACCCAGCAGTGTTTAGGGAACCTTATGGTGGTGGGAATATAACCATGGCCGACTGAATACACAGCAAGGGCGAGCACTTTCTCTAATGTCTGTACTATCTCTGACCTCTGGGGTGAATTTGTTGTTGTTTTGTTTTTATTTTTGGACCACACCTGATAATGTACCAGGCATACTCCTGGCTCAGCCAGGGATGGAAGCCAGGTCACCTGCATGCAAGGCAAACACCCTCCGTACTGTCTCTCTGGCCTGGTCCCAGGGGTGACTTTATTCTAAGAACATAGAAACACATAAAAAGGTTATAATGTGTTTTGAGGATTTTACAGTGACATTCTTATAAAAAATAAGTAAAGGGGCCGGAGTGATAGTACAGCAGGGAGGGCATTTGCCTTTCATGCGTCCAGCCTGGGTTCGATTTCCAGTATCCCATATCATTCCGCAAGCACTGCCAGGAGTAATTCCTGAGTGCCGAGCCAGGAGCAACCCCTGAGCATCACTGGGTGAGACCCAAAAGAATAAAATTTTTAAAAAAAGAAATATTCCAGTATTAGAATCAGCACAATTTTTACATGTGCAATATTAAATACCAAACTTAAAAAAGACATGTTAGAAATATATGTGTACTCTCAGAAAGAAAAAGGCAAATACAAAAGCTTCAGAAAGGTGACATTTTTCAGTAGGAACATTGTAAATATAAAATTAACTGTTCAAATAATTGTTCTTAGCAACTTATTGTAAGGGGGGAAAGATTCCTCCAGCCCTTTTGAGATTCAGCAAGTAACGTAAGAGACAAGAGTATTTAGGTCTGTAGCATCATTCCCATTCACCTTCATACCACGAACGTTTATTTGGGGAGTGGGCAATTCACGTCGTACTCAGGGGTCACTCCTGGCAGTATTCGGGGGACCATGCATTACCAGGGAGTGAAACCCGGCATCCTGTGTGCCACGCTTATGTCTCAGCACCTCTCGCCGTCGGCAGATGTTTATTGGCTACTTGGCCTAAAAGCGTCCTGAGTCCTTTGTCTTCTTCTTGAGGGCAGAGTTGTCCTTGCCTTTACAGTACTCCTGAACTACTGACCCCTGTTTTTTTTTTTTAAAAGGTCTTAGTTATAAATATAATCATCTCTAGTTATTCTAGATTTTTTTTTTTTTTTTTTTTTTGCTTTTTTTGGGTCACACCTGGCAGTGCACAGGGGTTACTCCTGGCTCTGCACTCAGGAGTCACTCCTGGCGGTGCTCAGGGGACCATAGGGATGCTGGGAATCAAACCTGGGTCGGCCACAAGCAAGGCAAATGCCCCACCCGCTGTGCTATCTCTCCAGTCCCTATTCTAGACTTTTTATGTTTTGTTAAAAATTCTAGGGAAGAGGGGAAGGAGCGATAGTTCAATGGGGAGAGCATTTGCTTTACACACGGCCGACCTGGGTTGGATCCCCACGTCCCATGTGTTCCCCGAGTACTGAGCAGTTTCTGAGTGCAGAGCCAGAAGTAACCCCTGTGCATCACCAAGTGTGACCCAAAAAGCCCCCAAAAGTTATATATATTCTTGTGAAGGACCAGAAACAGTCCAGGGATTCAGGTGTCTGGCCTGCATTCCGCTGGCTCTGTTTATCCCTGACACTAAATGGTTCCACCAGGTGTGGCTCAAGGGACCCCCACCTTCTCCAAAATTTCATGTGAATTAACTTTGCATTTGCTCACTACTTTCCTTTTAATAATATGTTTCCCAGGAAAGGCAGACTTGAAGTGGCATATTTCAGATATTCTCTTTTGTCATCCCTGTTTTTACTTTGACTCAAGAAGAGTATTAACCTTTCATCAATGGAGCTGGAGCGATAGCACAGCGGGTAGAGCATTCGCCTTGCATGCGGCCAACCCTGGTTCGATTCCCAGCGTCCCATATAGTCCCTCCAGCACCGCCAGGAGTGATTCCTGAGTGCATGAGCCAGGAGTAACCCCTGTGCATCGCTGGATGTGACCCAAAAAGAAAAAGAAAAAAAAAACCTTTCATCATTCTGCTCCGAGGGGGCAGAGCTGTCAGGTGGCTGTCCATGGACTGAGTCACATAGCTCTCTCTGACGGCCAGATGGGTCCTTGGGGTGTGGGGCTTTGCCTCGATGTATCCTGGAGCTCTCAGTGGCCTGTCAGCCAAGGGTATCAGGAATCAGTCACCTGCCTTGTGTGCAGCGAACTCGACTCTATCCCCAGAACCACGTATGTGCCCTGAGTACCACCAGGAGTGGCCCTTCAGTGCCACCTGGTGTGTTTCCCTCTCCCCCCCCACCCCTCCCCTGCCCAAGGGGGGGGGGGAAGCGTTGGTCTGTGGTATGCAGAACGAAGTTTCAGCTCAGGGTACTGCGTGGGGCACATAACAAATGGCGATGTCCTGCGGTTTGCCTAGGTACACCACAGCAGGTGGTGACTCAGATCATCCGAGGGCAGCCCGTCTCCACAGCCATCTCTGCCCCCAATGCAGTGTCTTCAAGCCCAGGGCAGAAAGGATTGACACCAGGAGCAGCCCCCGGAAGTCTCCCGCCGTCAGCCTCTCCGGCCCCCCGCCCACAGCAGGGACAAGTGAAGCTCACCATGGCCCAGCTCACGCAGCTGACACAGGGACACGTAAGTTCCGTGCTTCATCTGCACTCGTGGGGGGGGGAGGTGCTGCTGCTTAGATTTGCTGTAAACTTTGGGCTTCCTTTCTTTTCTCTTTTTTTTTTTTGTAATATACTTCTTTAAAGAAATGTCTGCTTCCCAGAGTCAAAGAAGTGTTTATAAAAATGTTATACTGGGCCTCGGCCATCATCTTGAGGCCTTCAGTGCTGAGCTTTAATTACTAGATGACTGACATATTAACCACAAATTATCTTCTCATCTTACCCACGGTACTGTCTCTCCACCCAATGAGCTGATCGAGAAGGTTTATGAGGCTCGCTGTCCCACAATGTGTGACTCACTGGAAGATTGTACTTTCCCTACACAAGGCTCTGAGTTTGGTCCCTGGCAGCACTAAAAAAAAAAAAAGAAACCATGTTATCAGTTACTTCACTAATTAATAAGGAACAGATGCAGGAATAAGACAGGCAAGCAAAACTGGTTTAAAAAAAAAAAGGGTCCATGCCTTGCCACCATTGGGAAAAGCCCCACGTGCTGCGGTGACTGAGCCTAAAGAACTCACTGCAAATCAGCACTGCTGGGAGGAAAAGGGAGGCTTCTCCCAAGCACACATTAAAAAACGCTGTAAAGGAAGAGATTTGTAATTCCAACTACATTAAAATAGGTGCTCGGCCTGAGAGACAATAGAGGGGTTCAGGTACTTACCTTGCACGCAGCCAACCTGGGTTGGATCCCCAACACCTCATGTAGTCCCTGAGGCCTGACAGGAATGATCCTTGAGCACAGCACCAAGTCTGGCCCCAAAACCAAATTAAAATAAGAGGCTGGAGCGATAGCACAACAGGCAATGTGCTTGCCTTGCATTTGACTCACCCGGAATCAATCCCCAGCATCCCTTCTGCACACGTCCCCACTCCCCCAGCCTGCCAGAAGGGATCCCTTGAACACATACCCATGAGTAAGCCCTGAGCTCTGCCAGGTGTGATCCACCTCCACCCACACCCTACTCCCCCAAAAAATCCAAAAAGATAAATGATAAATATTATATTTTTATGAGCATCATAGTAGAATGTATTTTAGACATCTAAGAATCAAAACTTTTGTTATAATTTTTATAACTATTCAATAAATAGTATTAAGAACTTTATCAAACACTCTGAGCTGAAAGAATGAGAAAACGTACAAATACAACCAACCATATATAAAGAGCTACTACAAATTACGAACAATTCCAGGTTGTTCAGGAGAAAAAATGAGCAAACAAGCTTGATGAGGGGTGAGGAAATACAAACCTACATACCTGAATATGTGCACGACTATATTAGTATTAAGGTGAACACACATTAAGGCCATAAACTTTAGAGAATGGGCTACTTTAAAATACTGGGAGGAAAATCAAGAGTAAGACAGAAAGCAGAATGAACCTTCATGCCAACCATAGGAGTGCGAATGAATTTGCCCTTCTGCATATCAGGGTATCAGGCCTGAACCTTCTTAGCAGAATCCAAAAGCAGGAGCAATTAAAATCGTGATCAGCAACACCAGTCCGTTCTTCTACGTTCCTGTTATATATGAAAACCAGCCGGCAGGCTGGGGGTGGAGAGATACTACAGCAGGTGCTTACATATAGCCAACCTGGGTTCAATCCCTTGTACCCATTAGGGTCCCTCCAAGCCCACCAAGAGAAAGCCCTGAGCATAACCAGGTATGATTGAAAAAGAACAAAGGAATTTTAACCAGTTAAAGCACTTTAGAGTGTAAATCTGGGGCCCGGGAACCCATCCCTGGTTCTACCCCCCCCCCCAAAAAAAAAAGATTAAAAAGACTAGAGAAGAAAATATGTAGAACCACATTATTGCACTGAAGAAGCCAATAACTAACAAGTGGACCTTAGCTCCTGTTTGTCTGAATAGGGGCGTAGGGCTGCCAAATTGTTTACCTGCATAGAGAACCGTTCCCATCATTTCCTTCATGGGTGATGTTCCTGAGGTGGTAGAACTGCGTCCTAGAGAGGTTCACACCCACCAGAAAAAAATGCACCTGCTCCTGCAACCTTGAGAAGAAAAGAGGTGGGGATTTGGGTCAGAGCACATCAGTGGTGGCTTCCTGCCGCTGTCAGCGCTGGCTTTTAGGCCGTCCCTTGAGAATCATCCTCTAGACTGCCCTGGGCGTGTTGCATGGTTTTTGAATGTGTAAAACTCGAAAAAACAAGAGCACAGTACAGGTGCTGCCCATATTCCGCATACACACCGTCTCCCCACCCCTGGGACGCGCTGCCCAGCGCCACGTACTCCCTGAGCAACAATAGCAGTGTCCCCAGTGCCATTGGCTGTGGCCTCAAAACAAGTGAAACACTCAGGAGCTGAGGACCCAGAGCTCAGCACCGTACATGAGGACAAAGCTATGACCCGTGGGGGTTCAGGCTGGGTCGCTTTAGATGGGCTCCTGATGAGGTTGCTGCAGAAGGACGTCCTGGAAAAAAAGAAATGGTACACGGGGAGTCTCGATTGAAAGACCCCCATTTACTGAATGCTGAGGCAGCACTGTCCCATTCCCCTAAACTTCAAGCTCTTTGTCTGTTAGAGTCAACTAATGCACACTGCAGGATGCACATAGTGTGGCGCCTGTTGGCAAGAAAACTCACCCAAGTTACTCATTTTATTTCATGTTTTCTTTTCTCTCTGACTAGCTGCAAAGGATTTCAACCTGGGTTTCTTTATTGATGATAAAATTATAGTAGCAGTTTCTCTTCTCGTCATATTTTCACTGTGAGACTCAAAAGAGGCAGTCTTTATGTGGATACTTTGGAAATTACAAAATTACATAGATGCAGATTATTTCAAAACCAGGATTTTTTTTGGTGGAAGCTTTAGTGACTTTTTTCCTTTTCTTTCCTTTTTCTTCCCTTTCCTTCCCTTCCCTTTCCTTTCGCTTTTTGGGCCACAAGCAGTGGTGCTCAGGATTTACTCCTGGCTGTTTCTCCAGCTCCTTACTGACCTTATTTTTATCAGTCAGGAAGCTTCAGTCTGAGGAGTGAGGAGAGCAGATGGATCGCTCCTTACTGCCTAGTGGGAGAGCAGAGACTGGAGCTCTGATTACTGGTTCATGTTCTTTGCTGCAAAACATCAGCATTTTGTTTTGCTTTGGGACCATGCCCAATGGTGTTCTTGGCTTACTCCTAGTTCTTACAGCATTTGGGGGGTAGTCGATCAAATCCTGGCTAGACCACATGCAAGATAAACATCTGCCTCCTATACTATCGTTTGGGTCCCAATATCAACTTTTTTTTCTTTCTGGGACACACCCGGCAATGCACAGGGGTCACCCCTGGCTCTGCACTCAGGAATTACTCCTGGCGGTGTTCAGGGGACCATATGGGATGCTGGGAATCGAACCCAGGTCAGCGGCTTGCAAGGCAGACGCCCTGCCAGCTAGGCTATCACTCCAGCCCCCACAGCATCAGCTTTAAAAGTATTATTTTACTATATCTGAAGTCCTCCTGTTGTTCTCTAGACATTCAAATAAGTGCTTCCATTTTGTTAAAAAATTTTTCTCAGCATAAAAATAGTCTGCTTACAGGTTGATGCTTTGAACACCATCTACCGCTTGTGTGTTTTTTCTGTAGGGTGGCAATCAAGGTTTGACAGTAGTAATTCAAGGACAAGGTCAAACTACTGGACAGTTGCAGTTGATACCTCAAGGTGTGACTATCCTCCCGGGCCCAGGACAGCAGCTGATGCAGGCTGCGATGCCCAACGGTACTGTGCAGCGATTCCTCTTTACCCCGTTGGCGTCGACAGCCACGACAGCCAGCACCACCAGCACCACAGTTTCCACCACTGCAGCAGGTAGACGCTGGGGGTCGAAAGCACCGCATAGGATTCCGCTGTGTCTCTGGGCTAACGGGAGAGAGGACCAGTGCTTATCTCTGGGAGGATGTGCCACAAGCCAATCTCTCAGCAAGCGCTCTTGTTCTTCCAGACTCAATTTAACCACCATATCACACATTTCTTCCCTCCCCCCACCCCCGTTAAAATGTAGAAAGTGAGGGGCAGAAAACTCGTAGGTGTCGTGTAAGGCAGTATGGGTGGATAGCTCCCACTCACAGCCTCTGTTGATGCCACAGGTCCAGAAGCACCTCAGTAGCCTCTGGGTGTGAGCCCCACCACCACCGGTCTCCGTCCCAGAGGAGGAGGAGTTGGGTTGTGTTAGCCTGGGCTAGAAGACCAGGCAGAGTGCCAGAGCTTGCGCCTTGCCTTGGAAGCCAGTCCCGTGGAGAGTGGCTGTGAAGCAAGGCCAGGCCGCCCTGTGTAGGGGACCCCCCCCCCACCCACGTTACTCCAAATGGAACGCGTGTCAGACATCAGAAATGGCAGCCTCCTCACCAGTAGATAATGCGCTCTGAGCCCTTCTTTAGCTGACCCCGCGTGTGCTGGAGTGGTAGAAATATTGAATCTTTCCTTTCCACAGGTACAGGTGAACAGAGACAGAGTAAATTAGCACCCCCGACACAGGAGCAGCCCGTGAAAGCGCAGTCGCCAGGCGGGAGCCCCCCAGACGCCCAGTCGCCACCTGCTCAGCCTTCAGCGCAGCCCCCGCCCCCAGGCCCACCCCAGTCCCCAGCCCCACCTGAAGCTCAGACTCTTCCTGAAGGCCCAGCCCCGGCAACTGTGGCCTCCCAGGTTCCTTCCGAAGCCCAGACCACCCATGCGCAGTCCTCCAAACCCCAGGGCGCAGTGCAGTGTCCGCCCGCAAGTAATGCCCAAGGACAGTCGCCTGCTCGCGTCCAGAGCCCGACACAGACTCGAGTCCGTCCGTCCACGCCGTCCCAGGTGTCTCCTGGCCAGCCACCCCAGGGTCAGACCTCAGCCTCACAACCGATTCCAATTCAGCCACATGCATCTCTGCACGCACCTGCCCAGAGCCAGCCACAGTCTCAGCCCCAGGTACAGTCTCCAACTCAAACTCTTTCTTCCGGACAAACGTTGACTCCAGTCACGGGCTCCTCCCCGTCCCGGCCTCAGCTCCCAACGCAGCAGCCGCAGCCCCAAGTCGTTGCTGTGCCTCCGCTGGGCCAACAAGTCCAGGTTCTCTCCCCGATGCAGCCGCAGGTCGTGGCGCAGATGCAGGCCCAGCAAGGTGCGGTGGCCCAGCAGCTCAGACTCCAGTTGCCCATTCACGTTCAGCAGAGCAGTCCTGTGCAGGCGCACCAGATTCAGAATGTGGTTACAGTGCAGGCAGCCAGTGTTCAAGAGCAGTTGCAAAGGGTTCAGCAACTCAGGGATCAGCAGCAAAAGAAGAAGCAGCAACAGATAGAAATTAAGCGGGAACACACCCTCCAAGCTTCTAATCAAAGCGAAATCATTCAGAAACAGGTAAAGTTATTAAGTAAAAGCAGCATGTTCAGTAGCTTGAAATATTGTGCTGTGCCTTAGACGTAGTGTTTGATTGTGTGAGGTCTCTCGATGAGACGAGAGTCACTGATGTTCCGCTGTACAAGCAGCACTGCACTGACGGGAAGAGTACTGCACGGAAAACTGGTTTGGAACTCGGTTGCCGTCAGTGCCACACAGAAACGACCTGTGTCGGGGAAGAGCTCAGATGGGCGGAAAGTAGGTAGGGCTTTAAGTTTCTCACTCCAACAGAAAGTCACGTTTGAAGTTGCAAAGCCACTTAAGCATCCTAGCTTGTTCTAAGTTCTTTGGTTGGTTTGCATGTACTAAGCACATTGGAGATCTGATGAAACGCATTTGCATTTCTAGCCACATCTTTTTTTTTTTTCTTTTTAATTTCTAAATACTGCTGTTCCATAGCTTAAATAACAGGTGGCATTTGGGGGTATCACTATAGTGAGAGCAAGTTAGATGAGTTATTCTATATGCAATGTATTAGGTGTCGAACATTCCCTGCTGATACAGAGGGAAATGTTCTTTGCCCCCACAGTGTGGATCTCAAGCATTCCCAGTCCGGGAGATCCACACATGATTTCGGGATCCTCTAGCCATAGTCCCAGAAATTGGCTTGTCTTCCTCCAGCTGTGTCCTCGCAATTACAATCTCTTCCCACCACATCGTATCAATGGTTAAATGATGTCTTGTATGTAGGTGTGCTCAGCATTAAAGTAGGTTTTAGAAGTATGAAAATTGATAAAAAACTGATATTGTATATATGCAATTATGTTACTCCTTGGATTTCAGCGCTGGCTAATCTCTAAATTAAGGATTACTGTGTGTCTGATGTTGCCCTAATCTCTACAAGGTGTGAGTGTAGAATGGAGGAAGGCAGTGCTGGGAGCAGAGCATCCTGACCTCTGGAGAGTGATAGCTGTACTTGAGCGTGTAGCCGTACAGTAATCTGACGTGTTAATCTCACATGAGTAAATTCATTTTTGCCTCGGTGTGTCCTTTGTAAAATTACCCCTGTCACGTTGTTCTGAAAATTAAATGGGATAATGTCAAACTCCGCACACAATAATCACCTGAGCCATATCGTAGCTGGTAATTTTATTTATGTTGCCATATAGTTTTTTTTTCTTTTTGTTTTGTGGTCCATATCTAGAGGTTCTACTTCCGGGAGCTACTTCCAGTTCTGTTCTTGGGGTTGCTCCCAGGAGTGCTGGGGTTCAGATGTTCTCCCATGTGCCCAGTCTGTGCTCAGACCATTGAGCTATCTCTGTGGCCCGTCATTAAAATTCTTCAGGGTTTTGTTTTGTTTTGTTTTTTAATGAGCAGCCAGTCTATGTCGGGTGTCTGCTGCTGAACTATGTAATGGTTTACATTACCGAATAAGCGCTTTCTCGTCGCATTTCATTCCTCAGGTGGTGATGAAGCATAACGCTGTCATCGAGCATTTAAAGCAGAAGAAAACCCTGACTCCGGCAGAAAGAGAAGAGAATCAAAGGTAGGGAGGAAGGCCTGCAAGCCAGCTTGGGGATCTCTCTACCGCCGGCTCAAGCACCAGTGTGCTGAGCCCGTTCTTCCTGACGGGGATGCAGTTTCAGCCCATTAGAACATGGCGCTGAGAGATGCTCCCAGTCGGTTTGAACCACTGTGGAACCTGCGCGCCCCGTTTGCATTTCCCCCGGCTGTAGAGACATGGGAAGCGCCATGCCATCGGCGCGGCATGACATGGCTTGTGTGTTTCTCTCCAGAATGATTGTCTGTAACCAGGTGATGAAGTATATTTTGGATAAAATAGACAAAGAAGAGAAACAGGCGGCCAAGAAACGGAAGCGCGAGGAGAGCGTGGAGCAGAAGCGGAGCAAGCAGAACGCCAGCAAGCTCTCAGCGCTGCTCTTCAAGCACAAGGAGCAGTTGCGCGCCGAGATCCTGAAGAAGCGAGCGCTGCTGGACAAAGAGCTGCAGGTCCACGCACAGGTCAGCCATGCCCGCCTGCCCGCCCTCCACGCCCATTCCGCTACTGCTTCCACTTAGCCCTGGTTAAGTTCCAATTTTCTGTTTGTCATCGAGAGTTTACATTGCTATGCGCCGTGAGTAACGTTCACAGCAGGGGGACACGGATCTCTTGAAACAGGATGTATGATTTGCCTTTATATCTTCCTGGGTTTCCTTGGGAGGGGAGGCACCCCTGGTGATGTTCAGGGGTTACTCCTGGCTTTGCCCTTGGAAATCACTCCTAGCGGTGCCCAGAGGATCGTACCCAGCTTGACCCATTGTACCAGCTGTCCAGCCCTGTATCTTCTGGTTTGATACCATTTCTGTGTGTGTCTTAAAATGAATTATGTTGGGCCAGAGTGGTAGTACACTGTATGAGGCGCTTGTCTCTTGCTCAGCCAAATTGGGGTCAGTCCCCGGCACCACACATGGTCTCCCGAACTCCGCCAGGAGCAAGGTCTGAGCACTGTTCCATGTGGCCAAGAACAAAATAAATTATAGAACTATTTAGAGGGGGGAAATAAGTAAACAAACAAATAAGAGAACTATTCAGAGAGGCACCGGGGGTTAAAAATCAAAAAGTTATTTACAAAGTATGTAGTTTTCATAGACTCCGTCCCCCTGTGTCCCCATTGTTAGTTCAGCAGGAGTGCTACAGATTCTTTAACAGTCGAGAAGCCAAAGGAGCTGAGGGGGAGTTGACAAGTCAAAATCGACAAACCAGTATTGAGACACAAGATTTCCTATTGTCCAGAATTCCTAAAAACAGGAAGTTCCTACCTGAGCAATTGTATAGCAGGTAGGGCACTTGGTTTGCTTGTGCCCAACCTGGGTTCAATCCCCGGCACCCCATATGATCCCCCAAGCCTTACCATAGAGGAATTCCTGAGTGCAGAGCCAGGAATAACCCCTGAGCACTACCAAGTGTGGCTCAGAAAACAAAAAAAAAAGAAAAAAGTTAACTTCTACCTGCCGTTCTCTGTACCCCTCCGCTTACCTTTGTGGTAAAAAAGAAATCTGGTTTTTGGTTTTTCTCCAGGTTTCACTTGTAGGGCTTTTTGTGGCGGTCTGGGGGCCACACCCTGCCTGCTTCCAGCATCATGCTAAGCAATCTCTCCCCATCCGGTATAGTGAACCGTGAGGTGCATTTGACCAACCCAGAGAAGTCTCGCAGGCCCTGGTTCTTTGGTTCACCCTGATTTGGATTTGGGGCCCAGTCCCAGTAATGCTTTGGGGACTGTACAGGTCCTGGAACTGAACCCAGAGCTTCACCTTTGGGGCACTCCCAGCTGTGCTTAGGGGACCTTGCGGTGCCGCCAATTGACCCGGTGGCTCCCAAATGCAAGGTATGAGCACGAGCCCCCTGGACCTTCTCTCTGTGGTTCCCCGCTTATCGTTGTATTTTATTATTCTTCATTTATTTGGCTTGGGGACCACAGCCAGCTATGCTCCTGGCTTTCTCCTGGTTCTAGATTCAAAGGTGACTCCTGGTGAGACTTACAGTTTGGTTATCAAATCCGGTTTGGTCGGTGCAGGACAAGCACACTGCCCATTGTACTAGCTCTCTGACCCCTTGTTTCTTTTTCTTTGAGTTTTTTCCTCACCAAGTCTAGGAGTTATTTCCATTGCTTTTTTGGTCTAACATTTATATTCCACACATAATGAAACCACTAATAATACATTTTATTTCTAAGCCTCATCAAAAAAAAATTATAAGTTCATTCAGTAAATAGAAAGGAGAAATGGTATAAAATCGGGGTGTGTGTGTGTGTGTGTGTGTGTGTCGAGGAGGTGGTGGGTGAACGACCATCGGGAGAGAGTACAGTGGGTAAGGCACTTATATTTCTTGTGCACACTCACCCAATTCAATCCCCAGTACCCCAAATGGCTCCTGAGCTCCGCCAGGAGTGATCCCTGAGCACAGTTGAGTGTGGCCCCAAATTTAGTATTAACAATAAGCATAAGAGGTTGGAGAGACTGAATAAGCTTAGGGACTCCCCAGGAGACTAAGGGAAATGCTCACTGTTTGTGGTTACATTCCACACCTAGGAAAAGTAATAAGAGAACAAATGTGATCTAGTCCAAAAACTAGAGAGTTCTGTCAAGCACTTCACATGTCATCTTCTTGGGAGAAGTGCCTCGGAGATAAAGCTGCTCTTCATCCATGTACTCTGGGCAACTTCAGTGCCAGGTGGTGTACCTGTCTTACCTGAATCGAACTCAGCGCCTGTGTTATCTCTCTGGCATAGTGGTTGTAAAGCTTCTGTCATGGTTCTGTGACCAGGGCTAGAGGGAGAGAACGGATCCAGGCACTATCCTAGCATCCCTCCCCCGTACTATGTGTACTCCCCCTGCACCACCAGGTGTGACCCTCCCCCCTAATTAAAAGGAAGCATCATTTCTTTGACAAAATCATTTGGAGTGGATTCAGATTCACCTAGTGATTTTTTTTTTTTTTTTGCATTTCATGTTTTCATTCTTTGTCACGTGTTTTGCTGGCTCCTTTGCAATGAGAGGTTTCACTTAGTCTCCTTAAAGCCTGGGGAACCTCACCCCCTGATGGTTCAGGGAGCTTGCCCTCACTGCCCCCTCGGAGGGCTCCTTGGTGCTGTTGTTGGGGTGCCCTTTCAGGCTTTTAGCCCTAGGCCCCAGTATTCCTCCCCTGAGCCCTGTGTCCTAGTTGAGGTGTTCAGGCGTTCATCTCCTTGATTTCTTTCATTGTTTATAGCCATTGATATGTTCTTGACTGCAAAAACTAGTGTTAACCTGTCAGACCCAGGTCTTTTTTTAATTTTTTACCTTTTTGGGTCTCACCCTGCAATATCCGGGTTACTCCTGGCTCTGCACTCAGAGATCAGTCCTAGTGGTGCTCAGGGGACCATATGGGATGCCGGGGATTGAACCTGGTTTGGCCGCGTGCAAGGCAAACACCCTCACCGCTGTGCTATTGCTCCAGTCCCCTGTCACAGTGTGATAATCTTACTGTTTCGTTTTGGTTTTGGCTACACAACCTGTCAATGCTCAGGGATCAAACCTGAGTTGGTTGCGTGCTAATCAAACACCTACCCACTATACTGTGGCTCCCACCCTTACCATGATCATTTTGACTTTCCTAAAATCTGTTTAATTCTTTTATAAATCACTTAATCATTTAATCCCCGTTATTCATCGATTTATTCGAGCGGGTGCCAGTAACGTCTCCATTCATCCCGGTTGCGTGCTAGCGTAGCCCAATGGTATCTGTTCGTTTTAGGAACATGTAGAGCCTCAAACCGATCATTTAGGGTCTTGACGAAGAAGTCTGACCATCTTATAGGTGGGCGTCCACGTGATCTTTTGATGTCTCGTGGAATCCAATCAGAAATGGCTCTAGTCCAGCGGTTGTCTGTAAACCTCATTACGTGTCCAGCCCATCTGATTTTTTTTTTTTTTTTTATTGAATCACCTTGGGAAAGGTTACAAAGCTTTCAGGTTTAGGTCTCAGTCATGCAGATATCAAACACATTTCCCTTTACCAATACTTTTTTTTTTTACCATGAAGAACCCCAATAAAACCCCACCCCCCACCCCTCCCAGTCCCTGTGGGGCAGATGAATTCTAGTTAACACTCTATCTGCTTTGATTAGATTCATTGTTTCAATAAAAGATTCACCACTATAATTTAGAGTTTACCCCCTCCCCCCCCCCCCCAAATCAGACATGCTGAAAAAGCATTGTGACGTGATTTGCTTTCTACAGCTGGGTTCAAGAATTAAATGTTGGTTTTGGATTTCTGCTATTTTACTTATTGACCCTGGAAGTATTTATACTGAAAGTCAGATAGTTAAGAAATTGGTTTCTGTGCTCTGGAGTCGTGGCCGTGCTGGAGAGCCGCTAGTGGGGGGCAACTGGTGGCCTCGGTAGGGGCCCATCTGATTTTTGATGTCTTGGCAAATGAGACAGCGTCCCTGATTCTTGAGCGTTGACGAAGATCAGAACTCCGGATTCTATCTCTCATTTGAGTGAATCGTGATATTCCAAGCATAGTTCTTTCGATTCCTCTTTGAGAGACCCGAATAGTGTTCTCATCCTGTTTTCGTAGGGTCCAGGTCTCTGAGGCATATGTTAATGCAGGAAGAATAGTGGAATCAAAGAGATGTGCTCGTAGCTGGAGGTTCTTTGTCCTTTTAGTTATTTCTTCAATGCTCTTGAAGGCATTCCAAGCCGCTCTCTTCCTCCTGCGCAACTCAGGTGCCAGGTCATTCATCATGTTGATTTCTCGACCTATTTATAAAATATCTTATTATCTCATTCTTACTTTGGACAACTTGGCAGGCTACCGAATGTAACCTGCCCACGCGGGAAAGTCTGGCAAACTCCCTGTAGTGTACCCAATATGCCAAATACCAGTAACAATGATGGGTCTTATTCTCCTAACCCTGAAAGAGCCTTGAATATGGCACTTTTTAAAATCTCAGGGCTAGGGCGAAGGAGACGTTCCGGTGCCTGCTTCAGGCAATCGATGAACAACAGGATGATCGTGATCGAGGGAGCTGGAGCAATAGCACAGTGGGTAGGGTGTTTGCCTTGCACACAGCTGACCCGGGTTCGATTCCCAGCATTTCATATGGTACCCTGAGCACCGCCAGGAGTAATTCCTGGGTGCAACAGGACGAACAACAGGATGATCATGATCGTGATCCTTTTAACTAATAGAATTAATCTGGTGGTTGACCTTGAGGGCACGGGGCTGTGCGAGGGATCCAAACCAGAACCTTGTGTGTGAGGTAGATGCTCTGCCCCTGAGCCACAGTAGAGAAGGATGAATGGGGGTGGCACAGTTGGTTCCCCCTCACCCAATTCCTGTATCTAAGTATATCCAAGTACCAGGTCAGAGGTTCCCAATCTTGGCCCTTTCCAAAACTAAAGTTTCTCCACATCTCCTGGAGATGTACATTTTTTTGTTTAGATTGGTTTGTTTATTGTGTTCTGTTTGCTGCACAGAGGTTCTAGGTTGAAGCTCTGCTTATTTCATGCATCTAAGACCACCAGATTCTCCTGCAAATGCTTGAGCTGCCTCATTTTTCTCTTCATAGATAAGTCTAGGGATTTTTTCTTTTTTTTAATATTTTTATTGAATCACAACGAGATACACAGTTACGAGGTTGTTCATGATGGGGTTTCAGTTAGATAATGTTCCAACACCTTCATCAGTATACATTTCCCACCACCAATGTCCCCAGTTTCCCTCCGCCCCCTTTCCCCAGGTTTAGGGATTTATTTAAATAATTATTTTATAAGAGCTTATTTGCTACTAGAACCTTCTCTGAATCAAACTGCACGAACTTATCAGAATAGCAGGTATGGTATAGAAGAGCGGGGAGGAGAAGAGAACTGGTGGGATAGTACAGTGGGCAGGCACTTGCTTTGCATGCAACCAACCTGGGCTCGATCCACAGCATTCCATTGGGTCCCCGAGGACCACCAGCAGTAACCCCTGAGTATTGCCGCGTGTGACCCAAAAACCACAAAAGGAATGGGGAGGAAATTGCCAGTTTTATGGGCTGGGAAAGAGTGATGGTTGTATTTTGGTTTGGGGATTTCACGTGATGCAGTGCTCAAGGGTCTCTCCTAAGAGTTCCTGGGGGACCACCATAGTGCTGGGGATTGAACTAGAGTCCACAATATGCCAGATAAGCAACTTAGCCCCCATACCTATAATCTCTACCCACCAGGATTACTTTTGGGGTTTGGTGTGGGCGCCCCGCCCATCAGTGCCCAGGGCTCATGCCTGGCTCTGTGCCCAGAGATCACTCCTGATGCCCAGGCCCATACGTGGGGGCTGCCATGGAACTCATGCCAAGCCAGTGTCCCATCCACCGGCCTTCCTCACTGCCCCCACAAGGTTGCTTTCAGGGTTGGTGCCTTCCTTGTCTTCTCCATCTGCATTCTGTCAACCCAAGACCCTCACCTGCTTGGGACCTTCATCTGTAGACCACCTTCTCCTGTCAGTCCTGTCTTTGTCTGCAGGAACCTGGGCTCCACCTGCAGTTCCTGTGTTCTCAGCACCGCTGCTGGGCTTGTGGCCAGGTCACCAGTTCACTGCCTTGTCTCTTCACTCACACAGGAAGAGCTCAAGAGAGACCTGAAAATCAAGAGAGAAAAGGAGATGGTGCAGGCCACTGCTGTGGCGGCCACCTCCCCCGCGGCGCCACCCGCGCCCCCAGCTCCGCCACCCTCACCCCCGCCGCCTCCCCCACCGCAGCACGCGGGCCCCCTGGCCACGGCCTCACTGCCCACTGCTTCCCAGAAGAGGAAGCGGGAGGAGGAAAGAGACTCCAGCTCCAAGTCCAAGAAGAAGAAAATGATCTCTACTACCTCAAAGGAAACTAAAAAGGACACCAAGCTGTACTGCATCTGTAAAACGCCTTACGATGAGTCCAAGTGAGTGCGTCCCCTCTTGCTCCGCTGGGTTCTGTTCAGTAGCCAGGGAGGGAGCGTTTCGGGAAAGAACTAGCGACCCGAGGGAGTGTCCACGGAAGTAGCTCACACCAGGGCCGTGCTGTCCGCTGTCTCGTCATCATGACACTAGGGAAGCGAACATTGGCTCATCCTCGTGTCCATTTGTATTTGTCCTTCATCATCTTTGTCAAAAACAAGCTTTCTGGTGCTGCCCCGCTTTTGCTCATACTCTTCTCTCCGGAGACAATTTGGTCAGCACTGGCGTCCCTCTTGCTACCCACAGCTGGGAGCTGCCTTTGCGGGGTCTCTCGGAAGCTCTGTGGGTCCCTGCTACCCCACAGGCTCCCCGACTAAATGCTGTAAGAGGTTTGCACTTGGGCAGGTTGGTTTTTTTGGGGGGTTTTTTCCTTTTTTATTTATTTATTTTTTTGTAATTTTAGAATTCTGTTATTTAAATTGCAATAGTAGACACTTGACATTTTTGTGGAATTTCCCGCTTTACTACTGGGGCGAAAGAAGTCAGAAAAATGCCAGTGTGTTTGTTCCTTTCACCAATCCTCAGGTTTGACACTCATGACTTGGAGAGGAGCATGGCAGCTCAGGCTGTTTTTGACAATATTAACTTTTTGGTGACAGATCTTTAAGGGCACTAATCCATTAGTGTTTTATATTTTATCATTATCATTCAGCTAAGCGCTTAGCTTCCATTTGAACATAGACTAGCTTTTTTAAAGCTAAAGTTAATCATGCTTTTATTGTACAAAAAATGCTTATTTGTATTTTTAAAAATGTGATGATTTCGAGTTTGGAATGTTTAGATGCCTTAAGTAGATACCAAAACAATTTATAAAGCAAATAGTGGTTTCCTTCTTGACGTCGCAGTTGCAATAAGGAAACTACACTAGTCATGCTATTTAATTGACCATTTGCTGGCAAGTGCCAGACCCAAACTTATGGTAGGTAGATCATGCTGCGTGTGGAATGAAACCTAAGTCTGTAGGCATCTTCACTCTTCATTTCTTACTCTGTTGATGATTAAACATAATGTAAAATGTGAAACCCTATTAACTGATTTTTCACTTAGTCTAATACAAGTGTGCCTCATTTTAAGAAAAATATACTCATGAATTACAGACCAAAACAAAATGACATGCAAAAATCATGTAGATGTTTGCACAAAATCATCAAAATATGCTTATGGAATTTCTTTAAATATCGAGACTTCTTTGGCCTATTCAGATGATAGAAATTCATTGCACTTTCATTGATATAAAATGACAGTGACATAAAATGAGGTATACATGTACACATGATCATTCTATTGCAGTTGCCTCCTCATTTTGTGGATATTTCCTATTTTTCAGTTTGTCATCATTAGCAAGCATTTCAGTGCACCAGGGTCATTTACTCACCGTTCCTGTTGGAATGAGTTCGTTTCTTTTTTTTTTTTTTTTTTTCCGTCGTACGTTATAATGATCTCTCCCCACAAAGGGTGATTTGGGAATCATGACCTTGAAGCTCAGGTTCTGAACTTCCTTCCAGAACACTCTGCCTATCTAGTGAACACAGCAGATGAAATCCCGCCAGGGCCCTGCCCCCAACAGTGGCAGTCAGGGCGGTCACCCTGCCAGAGAGCGAGTGACAGCACAGACACACAGCCATGTATTGTCCCCTCAGGCTCAGCTTCACCGGAAGCTTCCCTTAGTGTCCCCACCTAGAATGGCCCCTCCCCCTCCCCATAGACCTGATGGTGTCCGCATGCCCGGGCTGCTTCCCTGAGGCTCCTGCTTTCTGGCTACGATGCTACCGCAGCCTGTTCAGAGACGCTGTTGCTCACAGAGGCGCTTTTCACTGTCAGTTGGATCTTCTGTCTCCAAAGTCTTGAAGGGTCACTGTCCTGTCCGCCGCGCCCCCCCCCCCCCCCGGCCCCCCAGCCCGTGTTCCTCCACCCTCCCCAGGCTCCCAGTTTGCTCATCGCCCCCCACGCGCCACACCCCCCCTCCTTGCTCCCAGCACGGGCCAGCTGCTTCCTCTCTGCTCTCCCCTTACCGCCCTGGCCACTCGCGCACTTTACTACCATTGCACGTATAATAGCAACTGAGAAGCTGACCCCTCTTGTTATCCGTTATAGTTAAATCCTACTGTTCCTTTAGAAAATTAGGTAGGTCCTCACTGACTACATGTAACCCTCTTCCTTTTCTCCTCCATTCTGTGTTCTGACCACGTGTCTCCTACACCTGGCTGATTTGCATGTTCCTTGTAGCATAACTTCCACTTGGTGTTTGCGCTTTGCTTCGTCTTCAGATTGACACCGTGCGATACATTTTCAAACCTACCTAAGAATAGCCCTGAATTTGCAATGGCTTCTGTGGCATAGGTTTGACAGATGTAAGTCTTTGACTCCGTGGCTTTGGTTTTTTTTGTGTGTGTGTGTGTGCCTGTTCCCGTTTTACACACATTCATGACGAGAGAAGCATTACCATCAGTGTGTTGTTCATTTTTCAAATTCCAGTATGTTTTCAGTATGTTTTCAAGACCCACCTTTCACGAACCAGTGTTCTCGTTGAAATCGATGTGAGTGCCGTCATGTTCCCACACTCAGGCCCGTGTCAGATGCTGCCGTGTGTCAGGGGTAGAGAGAGCGGATCAAGATACGTAGATGACTCATTGCAGAACGTTACCCTGTAAGAAAGTGAATCGTGGCAGAGAGGACAGAATTAAGTACCATGCAGCTCAAAATGACAATTACATTGTCATTTTCATTGTGAATACTTTTAGGTTCTATATTGGCTGTGATCTTTGTACTAACTGGTATCATGGAGAATGTGTTGGCATCACAGAAAAGGAGGCTAAGAAAATGGATGTGTACATCTGTAATGATTGTAAACGGGCACAAGAGGGCAGCAGTGAGGAATTGTACTGTATCTGCAGAACACCTTATGATGAGTCACAGTGAGTTCTGATAAGAGCATCATATTTAATAATTTAGGAAGCCAAATTGCTCTGACTGCTTATTTATTTTTAATTAAAAAGCAAGATTTTTTTTCTGCATATATTATACACTTACATTACAAATTCCTTTTCGGTAATTTTTTCTCTTCTTCCCTCTTTACTTCCCCTTCAAAATTTATGTTTCTTCATAGTGAATGTTTGAGATGCACTGGGGCGGGGGGTGGGGGAATACGGTTTAATGGTAGATTTGATTCTTCACTATGCAACATTGAAATTAATGAGATTGAGATAGCCTAACTTATTTGGACTTTTTTGGTATTTGAAATGGGGTTTTATTGTAGGTTAGAAAAACACTAATGGTACGGCTCTGAGACTGCTATTAGCTTGCACAATTTTGAATTTCTTGTTGGGTGGCCAATATCAGCTTCCCACTTGAAACGGTATGAGTTGAAAGATTTCAGGCTTTGTTTTGAGTTTTAAAGTCAATTCAGTGTTTTGCATTTTCTTCATATTGGTTCTCTCCAATATTATATACACAGTGTTCTTAATAAATGTTTAATATCTGTTCTCAAATCAGAAATATTAAATGAACTCATTGGAATGTCTACAAGAGTGTTGATGAAACTACTATAATACTAAAACTATTTTATATCCCCGGGCTAGACTGTTTTCAGGTGCATGTTTTACTAGTTTTAAAAGTACATCGTCTGGGGACACCACCACCCCCCACAACCTGCTTTGGACTCACATTTCCATTTCGGATCTTGCAGATTCTATATTGGCTGTGATCGGTGTCAGAATTGGTACCACGGGCGCTGTGTTGGCATCCTGCAGAGTGAGGCAGAGCTCATTGACGAGTACGTCTGCCCGCAGTGCCAGTCCACAGAGGATGCCATGACAGTGCTCACGCCTCTGACGGAGAAGGACTATGAAGGGCTGAAGAGGGTGCTGCGCTCACTGCAGGTATGGGAGGCCCCCCAGCGGGCACCTGGGGTGAGGCCAGGGCGCCGGGCTCCCCGTGCAAGCCTGCGCTCCAGCCTGGCCCTCTGTTTCTGGGGGTGTTCTACAGGAAGGGAGGGCAGGGACCCTTTCACACAGTGTTCAGGGGTTCAGACTCGGTTCCCTTAGAACTGCTGAGTCTTCTCCTGGTCCATTAAGTTGGGAATGTTTGTGTGTGTGTGTGTTACATTTTTATTTAGAGAAAGGAAAGCTGCCCAATAAGGAATGCAGACTTTTGCAGAGGGAGAAGGCTGCATCTTGAGAAAAGGTTCTTATGGGCCAGAGCCATTGTAAAGCCAGTAGCGCACTTGCCTTGCACAAGCTGACTCAGGGTGTGACACGAAGAACAAGAGGTTCTTTCAAAAATCTGATTCTTGCAGCCAGAGCAATATAGCAGATGGAGCTCTTGCCTTGCCCCCACGGGAGGTGACCTGCCATATGCCAGGCAAGCGCCCTACCTACTGTATTATATTACTGGCTCCTGGTTTTGCTTTTCTGGCCATACCCAGCCATGCTGAGGCTATTCCCAACTCAGTCTTTTGGTTTGGGCTTTTTTTCCTCAGGGCTTACTCCTGGCTCTGTGCTCAGGAATCAATCCTGGTGGGCTCAGGGACCATATTTTATCTTTAAGGAAGACTTTTTTTTGGACCAAGGCAAAAACACAACAGGTAATACCACACTTGCCTGCAGCCAACCCACGTTCTGTCCCTGGCACCCCATATGGTCCCCCAAATGCTACCAGGAGTGATTCCTGAGTGCAGAGCCAGGAGTAACCCCAGAGCACCGCTGGGTGTGACCTCCCTCAGAAGAAGCTCATCCAATTTTAATTAACTTGAAAGGAAACATACATTCCCCTGCTCATTGCCACACCTAGTACAGCGGCCAAAGCCTGGGTGGAGCTAGAGGCAATTGCGCTGAGCCACGTCAGCCAGAAAGAAAGGGACAGACTCAGTCTCTTCAGCTGGGCCCCCAAGACACGCAGTAAGGGAGAAACAAGTCGCTGGCCCACAGCCCTGAGCTCCCAAGGCAAGGGGGGCCCTTTGGGTCCTCAGTGGAGAGAAGTGGGCGCCTGCTGGGGCAGAGGGTGGGGACGATGATGTGCAGGAGAAACACAGCCCCTCAGGAAAGGTTTACTGAAAAAGATGATTCTCCATCTGTCAGCTTGACACCGCCGGTGCAGGTGGCCAGAGGAAAAATTTCTCGACCCCTGAGCTCCAGCTCCTTCCCACACCACACTGGGTCCTCAGACCACCCTTCGAAGACCATTCGTGTAGAGTATGTTCATCTGAGATAAATTGTGGCTAGACCAAAAGTGTCTGGTACAAATGTTTCCTGTCTCCGGTTTTAACCTGACTCTGGGGGAGTAAGTACTGACACAGTAACGGCAGCTCTAGGTGGAATTCAGATGTTTTCCTCGGATAATCATGACGCCTTTCTTTAGTGATTACTTTTCTTGTTGCAGGCCCATAAAATGGCCTGGCCTTTCCTCGAACCAGTGGACCCTAACGATGCACCAGATTATTATGGGGTGATCAAGGAACCGATGGGTAAGTACCTGAACGCAACACAGGGATTGTGCAGAGTTCTCAGGAGACGGTACATTTTTCCCCCGTCAGATTGTTCCAGTGGGCCTGTGTGGTGTAGGGCGGGAGCACGGGACAGTGTGGTTCCTTTGAGGGGGTGTGGAGAGTGTGTTGATGGGGTTTTCTGTGGCGCCCACACAGCTGTCCTCAGGGAGAGTTCAGGGGTGTCAGGGACCACACCTAGTATAAATTTCCAGGGCGGAAGACTGAGCACAATGGGCAGGGAGCCTGCCTTGCATGTGGCCATCCCGGATTTGATCCCTGAACCCCTGTATGATCCCCCGATTCCCCCATAAGAATGCTCCCTGAGCCCTAAGCTGTACAGGTACAGCCCAAAACAAACAACACTGGGTGCCTGTTGGCGTGTGCTCACTGGACGGAAAGTTTTGTAGTGAATATTTGGTAGAGGAACAGCTCCTCTCAGCTAAACCAACTGATGATGATGTGAGCTGGAATGTTGCCATCCTTGTCTTCCTGTGTTAATGCATCTGCTCTAGCTGTGTGGAATTCTTAGTAAACGACAGTTCTGCTGAACCCGAGTGTGCTACAGGGGCGAGGTGTTTCCCCTGCTCTTCCGACCTTTTTTTGAACTCTGAGGTTGTAATTTCTCCCTTTAATTTTCACCTACCTATCCTTTTTCTCTCCTTCTCTCTCTCTCTCTCTCTCTCATTTTGGTTTGGGTCCTCCGTGGCAATGCTCAGAGCCTGCTTCTACATCAGTGCTCAGGGCATTGTCACTGGTGTGCAGGGACCATGCAGTGCTTTAAGGACAAGTCCAGGACTCCTGAATGCAAATCCTGCAAAACTCAGCTCATTCACCCCAAAAACTCTGCCCCGTTTCCCGTGGTTCTATGTGAAATTGTGTGGCTGTTTCCTGCAAGTACAGCTTCCTCCTCAGACCAAAGATTATTTCAATTAGCTTTTATCTCAGACATTTTATGTAGACATTTTGCATCATTACCACCAGGAATGGCAAGTCAGGATCACTTGTCACCTCTAGCCAGTAAAATAAAATTGACTGAAGAGGGGCCGGTAGGTTTGCCTTGCACTCAGGAACCCGGGTTCAATCCCTGTCACACCATGTGGTTCCCTGAGTCCAAGCGGGAGTGATACTTGAGTATAGAGCTAGGAGTAAGCCATGAGCACCACTAGGTGTGGTGCAAAAGCTAGAACAAAACGTTGTACAAGGGTTCCAAAATGAAGGAATTAAATTCTGGACTTCCCTTTGTTGTGCTATAGTTCCTTGTTTTTCATATATTTCGTGGGGCGGGATGCCACACCTGTCAATGCTCAGGGCGTACTCCTGACTCTGCACTCAGGAATTACCCCGGCAGTGCTCTGGGGATCATATGGGATGCCGGGATCAAACCCGGGTCTGCCATGTGTGCAGCAAATGCCCTCCCCACTGTGCTATCACTCTCGCCCCCTTGTTTTGAAAAAATTGAATAATGTGCAGTTTTGAGAAGAATGCTTTAAAGGGATTGTATTTCAGAGCTGTCTTTGGCCTGGACCGGGAGATGTGCGTGTTCCTCTGTTCCCCCAGTGTCGCTTAGGGCAGTGCCCGGTAGTGAGTGTGTGGCCAGGGGTTCCTGGCTGCTTACTCGGGATCTTAGTACTGTAGTTAGTAACCACACTGGAACAAACTTACAGCTTGAAAATGTTTTTACATTTTGTGTTTTTAAGACCTCGCCACCATGGAAGAAAGAATACAAAAACGATATTATGAAAAGCTGACGGAATTTGTCGCAGATATGACCAAAATTTTTGATAATTGTCGTTACTACAATCCAAGTGACTCCCCTTTTTACCAGTGTGCAGAAGTTCTTGAATCATTCTTTGTACAGAAATTGAAAGGATTCAAGGCTAGCAGGTGAGCAGATTGGTTCCTTGTTCTGATTTATTCCGTTAGTCAAACTGTATGTTACACTCAGAATTCATCCCATCGTCTGTGAGAATTTAAACCTTAGAATCAAAAAGCTCAAAGTGGAAATCAGGAGTCCAACATTATGCTTTTGATCTTGGCTGGGGGGAGAGGGGGTTGGCATTGGGCCGCACTTGGAGGTTCTCAGGGCTGACTCCTGGCTCTATTTTCGGGGATCACTTCTGCAGGCTCGGAGCTATAGGGGATGCCGCGGATTGAAGCTGGGTTGGACCCATGCAAGGCAAGCATGGGAGCCACTCTGGCCCCGATGTGATGCTTTTTAAGCTCAAGGAGTCTTGGTACTGGAGGGACGATACCACCAGGAGGGTGCTGCACATTCCCTGAACCCACTAGGAGTGTTTCCTGAGCTCAGGGCTGGGAGTAGCCCCTGAGCACTGCCAGTGTGGCCACACACACACAAGCAGAGGACTAATCTGGGACCTGAGCCAGATGAGTACAGCAGGGAGGGTGCTGTCTTGCCTTGCCTTGCGTTGCACATGGCTGGCTCGGGTTCGAACCCCAGCAGCCCATGAGGTCCTTTGCACACCGCCAGGTGTGATTCCTGAGGGCAGAGCCAGAAGTAACCCCCTGAGCACCTCCAGTGTGTCGTGTCCCCGCCTCCTTCATGCACCCCCTCCACGCCTCCCCCCCCCCCCCAGTCAAGTAGAAGTCATGAAGGGAGATGAGAGCACTTGATGGATCTGCCTTAGCTTTGATGTTGTAGAATGTTGTTCGGCTGTGGGCAAAACTCGACTTCTTAATTAAGTCCACAGATAGTTTGTCTCTGAACCTTCTAACATCAAAGCTGACCGAGTGGAGATTCAGGTGTCCTGCCGCTGTTTTGAAATCCTGGATCGCCTTTTCAGGCGCGTGGTTGTCCGCCTTACCTCGGGACAGTTGACACCACTGTCCAGCTTTGAGTCACTTTATTTACCATCTCACACCCTCCCCACCACTCCTCTCCTCCCCCCCTCCCCTGACAGACAGGTTGAGCTGGGGGGGAGGCGGAGGCCTTGGCATCTCCTTTCTCCCTCCTCCACACAGTCTCTGCCTTATCTCCTCATCCTCTGCAGAAAACCTAACATGATTTCCTTGATTTCCCTGCCTCCCTGTCACAGAGTCTGTCAGGAATTGAATTTGAGAGTCAGTTTACATAAACTGAGAGTAAACGCTCAACCAAAGAAACACAAAACTAACCCTAGGCAAGCAGCCTGGGGAGCTGAGATGTAGACCGGGAAGGGGCCACAGCGCTAGTACAGGGAGCAAGGGCACGCAGCGGGCGCTGTTCATAGCTGGGTGTAGTGCAAACTGCCCCCCACCCCACAAAAACAAGACATTGCTAACAAGTCCTATTGAGTGCATGCGGGCTGTTCCCTCAGCAGGGAATTCCCCTGCCCCAAGTGCCGGTGGTCTTGACACGGAGGGGAGAAAGCCGGTCTGAGCAAAGCCTGCCTGGAGAGCAGGTCACGCACAGACCCCTGGTCCGGTGACTTCTGACAATGAACAGGGACCTGGAGAAACACCACAGGGGTTCAGGCACTTGCCTTGCCCACAGATGACCCCAGTTGAACCCCCATTACTGCTCCCCCGAGCACATAGTCTGCGAGCATTGCCGGCTGTGACTCGATGTCTCTCCCCAACCCCCAAAATTGAACAGAGAGGCTGGAGTGACAAGACAGTGCAGAGGGCATTTGCCTTGCACGCCGCCGATCCCGGTTCGATCCCCAGCATCCCACAGGGTCCCCTGAGCATTGCCAGGTGTGGCCCAAAAAGCAAAAAACAGAATAGAATGCCAGGATCTCAGAATTAAGAGTGACCAGATACGTCACAGAGAGGTCACGGTGTATCAGAAAGATTCCAGAGAAAATGAAAGAACATTTAAAAATCAAATCTCAGGCCAGAGAGGACACGGCCTGACTGTACCCCATGATTCCTGGTCCCAGGTGTAAGGCACCTGGGGTGTAAGTGCCCAGTTCAGCCCTGGGCACTGCATGCGGTCCCTGAACACCGAGCCAAGAGTAATTCCTGAGCATAATCAAGTGTGGTTGAGAAAAAGCAAAAACAAAAGTCTGATTCTTACTCCAAGAGAAACATGGAAGAGGTGAACAGGAATAAGAATAATCAGAAAAGGAGCAAAATGAAATTTAGACCTGTTGCAGGCAGTGAAAGTTAAAATCAAGCAACTTCCTCGTGTACAGAACAAAGTGATGGCTGGAGAGATAGTACCTGGGTTAAGGCACTTTTGCCTTGCGTTCCGTTGACAGTGGTATAATTCCGGTAACGTGTGGTCCCCCAGGCACCTGGGCCAGGGTCACCTCTGAGCTCAGCCAGGAATGGGCCCTGCTGGGTGTGGCCCAACACCCTCGCCCCATTCCATCCCCCAAGAAAGGTCAGGGAAATTAAAAACAAATACAGTAGACTGTACTCAATATTCACCTAATGGAAATTCCAGAAAGAACAAACAACAGATGACAGGAAATTATGATAAGATTAACAGAAAGTTTTCCAGAACCGACGAGAGTTACAGGTCTTTAGAACAAAGCAGAACAAATCATTGGCTCATCAAACGGATATTGATACCCTTCTGTGTGCCAGATGCTCAGTAGAGCAGGTAAAAATAATTGGGTCAGGTAGGGCAGCAGGGAGGTTGCTTGACTTGTGAGCAGCCAACCCCCAGCATCAAATACAGTCCTCCAAGCACTGCTAGGAGTGACCCCCGAGCACAGCAGGGTGTGGCCCAACATATATGTAGCTTTAGGCAGGGGATATCCCTCAGACATGACTCCCGTATTCCAAACCCTAGGCATTATTCCCAGTTTCAAAAAGAGGGGAGCGGGGAAAGTAATAATGTATGATTAGTATAATTTTTACTGTCTGTGGAGACACATTGTTGTGGAGGAGGAAAATGCCATGTGCAAGACACAGTTAATGAACAGCAGGGGCTAGAGCAATAGTACAGCGGGTAGGGCACCTGTCTTGCACACGGCCAACCCGGGTTCAAGCCTGACACCCCATAAGGTCCCGACCCTAGCTCCCTGGGAAGAATTCCTGAGCACTGCCAGATATGGGGGGAAATAAATAATAAACATCATAAGCCAATTGGACGAGTGGGAAAAGATCTAACCACATAGACACCCCCAGGTACCACACAGCCTCCCGGGTACTGCCCGTAGGGTCAGGGAGAGAGCGCGGCTTCCCTGGAGGCCTGGCAGGTTCTAAGGCCTGGCCAGGTGCTGAGAATGTTCGTGGTGCCCCAGAGCATCACCTGGGACCCTTCCTCTCCTCCCACCCACCCCCACCCCACCCCCCGCCCCTCCCGCATAAGTAAATACTGGAAAGGCTTTGGCTTAAAGCTTGAGGTGGAATCCGGAACAAGAGGAGCCTGTGAGGAGCCTGAACCAGCAGAGCGTGGGCTCAGGCTGGACTGGCCAGGACAGGGCCACCTGCAGCTGCCGCCTCCTCACTCAGTGTGCCTCATTCAGTGTGTTTATTTCCTCACAAGTAAGCTAAGTTTGCTCAGTTCTGCTGAAACAAAGTAAAATGTGAAGAACCATGAGAGCATTTCAGAGGCAGGGAAACATCCAAGTGTCATCCAGGTAGCTAGTAGAGTAACCAAGTAACCAAGTAGAGGTCAGGAGCACCTGCCCTCAGAAGCCCCTTTGTGTTTGTGACCCTTGACCTTGGAAGCGCCAGTGTTCCCCATTCTTAATCTGTGACCCTGAGCACTGCTTGCACATTACTTTCATTACTATTACAGTTGCTTTGTTACAATTCATCATTCATACCATCCGTGTTCTTTTTTTTCTTACAGATTGTGATATCTTTAGTGTGAATTTTTAACTGGAATCAGAACTGGATGTTGAGGTCATTCTTTTATTGCTCCACGTGATTACCTAATTCAAAACCGTTCCCCCCTCCCAAAAAAAATTCAGATTAATATAATTTTTGATGTTGTAAAAATGCATAGTAGTAAACTTTTTATGCTAGCGGCCTTGTTAATAATGTTTTTAAGAATTGTAAACTCCTGGAACACTGTATATATAACATTTTGGCAATAGGAAGTACTTGAACTTAGTCCGGGTCACTGTACAGTAATTTGGTTTACTAATAAAAGTTGTGAATAAAACTGTGAAACTAGAAAGCAGACTTTTTGACTTTGAAGAGAAGAATGTGACTTTTAATATTCCTAACTGTCTTTCTCATCCCCCATCTCACTGAATCTGCGTGTAGGACCCCAACCCCCTCCCCCCTTCCCTGCCCCCACCCGCAGGACCAGTCACAGTGTAGCACCTTCTCCCTGGCCAGGAACGTTTCATAGATGCCTCCCTCCCTTTATTGAAGAGCGCTATAATCTTGACTAGAAAAGTCTAGATAGAAATAGCTTTTTCCTGTCAGCTCTGTTTACTGTACAGTAAGGTTTTAAAATCAGAGGTAAGATTTTCCTCCCTTGCTCTCCTCTCTTTGCTTGCCAGAGGTGAATGTGGCTGCTTCCCATAGACCCATTGGCCTTGGCTTCCCTGTCGTGTGTCATTGTTGTCAGAAGTGAAGGGTGCTTAATTGTTCCCTTTTTTCTATATTCTGTAGGTCTCATAACAACAAACTGCAGTCTACAGCTTCTTAAAGTTCAGCGTGTTAATCTAACATATAAACACAGCAAGAATCTGGTTGTCTGAACTATTGTAAATTAAGGAGCCAGATGTTCTTAGTCAGGTAATCCTGACAAGACCAACCCAAACTGCGTTTTTATTGGTCATAACAGCCCAATTACATTCTTGGCCAATTTTTGTCCAACGGACAAGGGAAAAAAAGCAAAGTCAACGACACCATTATCTTGTCAAGATCAAATGGTTTTACTATTGTGGCAGAAGCGGGAAAATTTGTTATTGAAAAAAAAAAAGAAAAAAGAAAGCAAGAAAAAAAAAGATACTATGGGGTGAAGTGTAACTCCATGGAAATGCCACATCTGCTCTTCAGTGAAGAAGCTGGTTTAGAGTCTCAACGGAAACTTTTGACTGTATTTATTTATTGTTGCAAAAGAGACGCTTTTTTATCGCTGCCCTCATTTGTCAGCTAATTATTTTTTCTTATAAAATCCAGCCCCAGTTCCATGTAATCCATTCTGTATCTTATCATGATTCCTGTAGGTAAAAGTACAAGACAACCTCTCGGTGTCTTTTCTTTCTATGAAAGGAGCTGCTATGTATACATGTGCGCACACACACACATACAAACACACACACAAACACACAACTGGGAATCAACATGAGTTTCTTGTTCACGGTAGATCAGCATTACGCTTGCATAAAGGTTGGGCTCAGTGGTCCTGGACTAGACTCAGTTGCCTTGAATATAATAGTACAGTTTGTCATTTACTCCGCACCAGGCTCAAATGAGTAAAATCTCTTTGAAGGTATCTTGTTTGTAAACATTTGTCAGATTCTAATTTTTTTCTTTTTGTATTAAAATTCAACTATGGATGTATATGAAACAAAATAAATGGAGATCATTTTTCTCCCATGGACGGTGTCTTTGAATGTGCGCTAATGGCTTTGTGAGCCTTTGCGGGGCAAGGGAGGGCTGCAGTAAATGGAAGGTAGACCCTTGATTGTACCTGGGTTTTCCCAGGATGCTACTGGCCCTTTGTTTTACGATTCCTATCCTGTTGTCCTCATGTCAGAGAAATCTTGAGGGGTGCTAATCCTGTTGCATCGATAAGGCGTCTCCTTCCTCGGCGCAGTTCTGAGTCTAGGCGGGATCAGTCACAGACAGCTACCTTGTATTCTAGGAAGGGCATTTTTTAGACAACTTTGTCTTTTTTTGTATTTTTCCATTTGTTGGTTGAGTTGTTTGGGGTTTCCCCACACCACACATTTTTTTTAAAGATGTATAAGCAGAAAAAGGGGAAAATGGAAACTATGGCGAAAATGTATTTTGTATGTTTTTCCCTTCAGCATTCTAACCTCATACATTGTGTCACTAAATTGTAATAATAGCTTCTGTAAGATCTGCCATAATTGTTTTTTGCCGTTTTGCAAAACTCGTACTAGATTTTTTTTTGCACTAATTCCTGTTAGCTTTGTGCCACCAAGTTCTGAAATTAATTATTGATTTAAAATTTTTTTTCCTTCTGTCTAATATCATCCTGCTATGCAAAACCTTTCCCAAATCTTAAAAGATACTGTTTCTTTAAAGATACTGTTCTGACTCCCAATTCTTTCTTCTTACAGCTTCAGGCATACAGGATATTCTGGGTTGATTATACCTAATGCAAACCCATCCCTTTTTGTACATAAAAATGTCACTTCAACCTCTGCTTACCAGCTAATGAGTCTGAAAACATGGAAACAATTTAAAATACTTAGATGGAAATAGTCCAAAATAAGTTATTCTGTCCTTTTACTTTTAAAAAATCCCCTGTTATGTATGCACTCTGCTGATGCAAGAATTGTACTTTCTAATGAATTAAGAACATCTCCCCATGCCACGCTTTCTGTAGACCTAGAAATGGCCCTGGGCTTACTCCTTTAAAACTTGTTGCAGCCAGAATTTTCTTACATGTAGGCAATAGATTGCTGTGTTTTTAACAGATTGTGGCAAAATCTAAACAGCAATTCTTTTTTGTATGGAATAGGACATTTCATCCTAGAAAAATAAACTAATGTTTTTGACATTGGATTTGGTGCAGTTTCTAATGAAACAATAATGCGTTGGTTGATATATTTTCTGTAGCTGTTGGCATTGTCATATTGTACCAAAAGTAAATTTTATGGAAATTCTCACATCAGGAAAATGTTGATTCCATATGGTAAAGATATTGATTCCATGTGATAACGCTTTTGCGATTTCTGTCACCAGATAAAAGACAAAAATATTTATAATTTTACCAACTACAGAGCTTTGGTATTTAAAAAGTAACCTTTCAATACATTCTTTTAAACCAGTTTGAAAATAAGTTTCAAAACCCTGCTCTTCGATGAATATTCTTTGGTTTCTGCTATTCCTTAAGAGATACATATTACAGCAATTTTGCTATTAGTCCAAACAGTAGAAGGCACATTTGTAATACTGTTAGGATTATTCTACTAGTCTTTGGGCTTGTAAATCTATTTAATTTGCAGCAATAGATGTCCTTGGCTTAAAGTATTTTTAATGCTTGTATCTTCACCTGCCAAGTTCGGAAGCCTTGGAAATCATTTCATAAAAAGTATTTTCATATCGGTAAGCCTTTTTCTCCTATCCAAATTCTGTGGGATTTGTATTTTAGTTAATGTCCTGCAGTAGGTTTTTAAAAATTGTGAATTTTCAGAGAGCTATTTTTAAAAGTAAACAATTACCTTTTTATATTGCAAATGGTCTTGAATGTTATTTAAAGACACTGAGATTTGCTGTTGTTTGTAATTTTCCTTCTAGAATCTGCAAATAAAAGTGCTTTCCTTATTTCTGTTCATTTCTATTAGGCAAACTCCCAGCATCGTTGTGTTTCTGATATTAAAGACTTAGCCAGGTGGCCTTGTTGATCTCTGCACACATAAAGACCGAGCTCCACAGAGCTCCATAACCATGGAGCATCAGTTTAGTAACTAAGGCTGTTGCCCCTTGGTTTCAGGTTTCTAGTACTTAAAATGAAAACGGTGGTATGGCGTGGGCAAGGCAGGGTCCTGGAAGTACTTGGAGGATCACGGACCAGCCAAGAAGTGTTTAAGTATTGTCATTTTGAGGTATTTCCAGGTAATACCTAGAATAAAATGCTTTAGAAAAGAAGAAGAAAAAAATAAAAGATCACCCACCCCTTGCCCGATTTGGACCAAATTCAGTTGTAATAGTTGCAATAGTTGCTGATTTCTGAACTAATAAAGGCCTAAAGCTGCTGGTGGGCTCTGCAGTTGTTGGTGAGTGTGTCCATGTGTATGATCAACATCTGAAAGATCCTTTCAAGGCCAAGGCCTGGATGTGGCTCAGCAGTAGAGCACTTGTCTTTGCATGTGTGAGGCCCTGGGCTTGAATCCTGGCACCGAGGAATAAAATATTTTAAGAGAAATATAAACAAAACAGTGCCAAAAATATTAAAAGACCGGAAAAGTCTAGTCAACCACCCCAAAATATTTTCCCTTTGAATTTTGAGAGAGAGGGCCTTCTATATGTGAAACATGTATCCTAGTGAGCTATGATCCTTATTGACACACTCTTGAAGGCAACTATATGATTAACAGTTGAGGGGCTGTTACATGTGCATGTATCATTTAGTCTCTGGAGCACAAACACAGGCACTGAGAAAGAAGTCTGCCAGGGGAAAATATTTGTTAACTGCTATTCATTTACTAAGTAAAATTTCCCATAGCATTAAACATTGTAGGCTGAGAGACAGCTCAGTGGGCTGATCATGTGCTTTGTATGCAAAAGGCCTGTAACCCTGACGTGGGGTGAGCCCCCAAGCACTGCCACGTGTTGCTTGAGAAAGAGAAGAAAGTTGTGGGGGCCTGGGGTTTTTTTTTTGTTGTTGTTGTTGATTTTGATGTTTTAATGCTACACAAGGAACTTACTGAACATTGGAATGTTGATATTTAACCTTTGTTGCCTGCCCTGGAATTAGCAGAACTGCTCCCTGCCTTCAGGGTACCCCCCTCCACCTACCTGCCCTCTTCTGAATCTCATTTTTCATTGCAAACATCGTCTTGGGTGATGGCCTTAATTTTTATCAAAGAACTATTTTTAAAAGCTGGCCTGCTATTGTTTGCCACGATGTACATACTAACAGTCTGACCTCAAGAGTCACAGACCACATGGGGGTCTGTGTGTGTGTGTGTGTGTGGTGTGTGTGTGTGTGTGTGTGTGTGTGTGTGTGTGTGTGTGTGTGTAAAATTTCTCAGAAACAGTATTCACAAACCAACTGAACTCTAAATCTCAGGATTCTGGGCAGATGGTTTCTTTTTCCTTTTATGCCAGAACTGTTTATTACTCCTCTTTCTACTCCAGTATCTGAGCAGCCAGCCAATAATGTATCTGCTTGGTCATTTTTGTCATTTTCCCCACACTGTTCCTCAGGATCATCACTTAACTTTCTGTATTTAAAAAAATTACTCCCTCGGGCCAAAGTGATAGTACAGCGGGGAGGGTGCTTGCTTTGCACGCTGCTGACCTGGGTTTGATCCCAGCTCCCAGATGGTATCCCAAGCTCGTTTGCCAGGAGAGGTCCTTGATCACAGAGCCAAGAGTAAGCTCTGAGCACTGCCCAGTGTGGCCCAAGAATAAGTAAAAACTGCTCCCTAGCTTGAGACGTGGTTCAGTGGTAAGAACACTGCCTTGTATAGGTGAGGCCCTGGCTTCAATTTCTGGTGGGGAGAGAAAATCGGGTTTGTTTATGGTGCTTTCCTATATGAATCAACTTTTTCGTAAAACTAATGAGAACCAGGGTGATGTCTTAAAGGATTGTATTGCAGCAGCAGGCCCGAAGTTCAAACTTGGCATCATGGTACCACGTGACGTTCTCCCAAAGTACTGTTTGGGAGGCAACCCCCACCCCACCAAGAAAAAGAAAACTGACCCACAGGCCCTCTTATTCATGGCAGACACTTTTCCAGCGGTTGGTGTCATGATGCCTGCGAAGTCACTGAATCTTCTGCTATTTGAACTTGCTCCCCTGTGGGCTCCTAGCAGTCCTGGGAGGATTAGGGGGGATCCTGGGCTACAATTTGCCTCTGTGACCCTCAAAAGACCACAGACAGCACGCATTCCCTCAGCACATCTCTGACACAAAATACGCTCTCAGAATTTTTCATTTTCTGAACCCCGAGAAAATGTTCGGGGTCTGCTCTCAGCGGCACACGAGGGGTCCACATGGGATCGGAACCTCAGCTCCTGCTCCCCAACTCTGCACTCCAGCCCAGTGACCCACCTCCCTCACTCCAGGCTGTTTTTCTTCAGTACAGTTCATTTGACCTTTAAGGTAGTAATCTTCAGCTAGGTGAGGGTTATTGATACCTGTTGACAATTTGGTCTTATTTAAAAAAAAATTGCTTATGTCTTAGTGGCCTCAAGCATAAAACTCAGAATTCCATTCAGCAAGTGATTAAGTCTTTTTCACGCCTCCTGGGGAGCCTGTAACAATTCTCTCATCCCTGCACACTCTTCCGTGGGTTGGCCACAGAACTCTGGGAGTGAGTTTGAGAATGCCTTTTTCCCCAAACTTTAGTGGCTTACTGAGGCTAAAAGAACCAGGTGCATCCAAGATCTAATTTCAAGGCAAGATTTACTGCTTTACAAACATAAACACGATACTTGGTCTTAATAGAAAAATGACATCAGATATGCCCAGAATATATTTAAGCACTGGGATAGATTCCAGATTGACACATACAAGTTTCTAGAATTGGGACAGCTTAAAAAATAAAGTAGAGCTTACACTTTGGTACATCCATAACACTTGTTTGAGTAATATTTCACTTGAATTAAAACTTTTAGTATGCCTTCAGTGTAAAACTTCAGTACTTGTCTTGGGTTCTGACCTAGCTTTGATCTAAATGACACTCCAAACATGTCTCTGACTAGTGCACTTACTGTTTGTACAGAATTTAAAATGTGATGCTTTGAGTATAAAATTTGGTTTGATACATGCTATAAAAGACGATTCAAAGTTGTATATTTCAAATCAAGGAAATGGTTTTTTTTTGTGAACTCTATTTCTACTGGAGAATGTATTTAAATTAAAATAATAAAAAATAAACAACACGAAGCCGTGATCTGTTAACTGGACAGGTCAGTTATCTGAGCTGTGTAACGGCAGAGGCAGAGCCGTCTTCCGTGTCAAGAGCGCGTGGTGAGTAACAAAGTGTCGAGTTCGAGGTCAGAATGGGAACGACACGACCCGTTCCTCCAGGGCCCTGAGCCCTGTGCGAAAGGAAGACCCCGCTGTCCGACCTGAGACCTGTCTCTAGAGCCCGGCGCGGCCAGGGCGAGGGGGCTCAGGGGCACGGGGCGTGGACGGCACCTTGCACCTGCCCGTCCCGTCTGCGGTTGTATCTTTTCACGTAGCTGCTGCTGCGTCTCAGCAGCCCATCTCCCGGCCGGACACGCCCTCGGAGGACCTGGTAGAGCGCTGCAGGCAGCTGCCGCCTCTTATGGTAGATGTGGCCCATCACGATGTACCTGCTGCCTGGGGAGAGTCACAGAAACGCCTATCAATAGTGTCTCGTGGGGGCGGGGGGAGCACGAAACGATCAGGTGCGCAGCCTTTGAGAAAAGCTGCAGCTTGAGGCTTCATCTGGCTGCACAGGTTAAAAAGTCAGATAGCAACAGGTGGGATCAGCCTTTAGCCGCTCACCTGCCTGTTGGGGCTAAACCGACCGTGGCCTCGTTGGACCAGAAGCGCGAGTGGAACGGGGCGTGGCTGCAGAAGGCAAAACCTGAGTGGCCGCGATAACACCTAGGTCTGAGCACTGGCAATTCCGATCCCTACCCCACCCCACCCCCAAAGAAGGGAATCGGGGGTACCAATAGGGACGGGGGACGGGGCATCCCACTTCCAGAGAGTGGCTGAAAGCACATAGAAGAGCGGGCGGTCAGGTCAGGTTCAATACCGGGTTTAAACTCTGGGCATGGCTTATTGCAACTGGAGGGGTCTAGGGCTAGGAGGTGCACTCGGAAGAAAAACCCGTCCGGAGTGAAGTACAGGCGGTTCATCTTGTACAGCCCGTCCCGGTCCACCAGCAGAGTCACCAGGCGGATCCCCGTTCCCAGCACGTCCACATCCTGCACGATTCCGTTCACCGCTGCTTTCAAAACAAAGGATCGGGAGGCACGCGTGACACTCGGGTCCTCTCTCTCTCTCTCCTCCTCTCCCCTGCGCGCCTCCGCACCTCCCGCGTGGGGTGGGCGGTGCAGGGGCGTGTGGCGGGCCAGGCTCACCGAATTCGCTGGCGCAGAAGGCCTCGCGCTCCTCGGGGTCCGCGCTGCAGGCGCGCGCGCAAGGCTCGGCGGCGCTCGGCGGCGGCGGCGGCGGCAGCGGGGCGGCGCGCGACCGGTTGGGGTGGGCGGGGCTGGCGGGCGCCTCGGGGGCGCGTGCGCGCGGCCGGTTGGGGTGGGCGGGGCCGGCGGGTGCCTCGGGCGCGCGGGTGCGCGGCCGAGCGACGGGGAAGGGCGGGGCCCGGGCGCGCGCGCGGCGCAGCGAGGGCTGGTTCTCGGCCTGCGCGAGGCGCGGGCTCGGCGGGCCCGCGGGCGCGCGCGCCACCTCGCGGACACCCGCTCGGTTCTCGGCGTGCGGCCGAGGTTTCCGGGGCCGCGGGTCGGGCCAGGCGCGGTCCGGGGGCTCGGGGACCGCTTGCACCCGCGGGCTCGGCGTCGACTGCGTGCCCGCGCCGCCGCCGGGGTCGGGTTGCCGGTGGGGGGGCAGCGGCGAGGCTGCGGGAAAGCAGAGGGGAGAGCGGAGAGGCCGTGAGGGGCGTCCAGGGAAGGGGCGCGGGGGGCGCTGGCCTCTTCTGCCCGTCGGAGGCCCCGTTGGACGATGGCGATGAGGGTCTTGCTTCGGAGGACCCGGGGGCCCGATGGGAACGTCCCGTCGTGTGCAAGATCCTTCGCAAATCTATAGCTTTTAGAACCGCCTCCACCTATTTGTTTTAGGACTAAACATCTCTGACAACTCGGGTTGAATAACGAACCCTTCTTGCCCTTTCTTTAATATATATATAAACATCCGCCTTTCGGGCTATTTACAGTTTTGTTGAGAAAGCAGCCAGAAAAAAAGGGGGTGGGGGGGCGCCCAGGGAGGGGAGGTCTCGTATTACAGGTTCTCCTAATTGTTTCAGCGCCCCTGACAACACAACTATTTGGTTTTCCCATCCGTGTTTACACTGTCATCTTGATCGCTGCGAAATCCAGGGCTGGTGAGTGGATTTTTTTATCTGGCTTCTTGGACACTACTTAGGAGCAAACCCACAGTTCAGAAAGATTTTTAAAAGCAAGTATATCTATATATATATATATATATACATATATATATAAAAGCACACAGCATCGCGTACATTTCCTCCTCGTTGGGCAGAGGGAAGAGTTTCTAAAAGGAAAAGGTTCGGAATAAAAACTTCCTCTCTCTTCTTGAAATTATGAACGATTCTCTCCCGCCAGCCTCACTCGGCAAACTTCAGCTTGATTGCAAAGCGGGCAGCTTTCCCTGCCCAGTTACACAATCTCAGCTCCGCGTCTGCCTGGGTCCCAGTGCCCACCAGCACGTCTTTATTTATTCTCTTTCCCTAGTTCCAAGGACCACCTGGGGCATTGTCCTGCTCTTGCACTGGAAAGCTCGGTTCACCCCTTTACAACTCCTGCAACACACCCCAGGGGGATTCTCCAGCCAAGTTAACCAAACGGCAGCAGTCGGAGCCGGTTACAGCTGATTTTTAAACACCCCCCCGCCCCCAGGAGCTTGTTTTCTGACTCATGCTCCGGCTGTCCCCTACACAGCTGAATAAAGGCCTGGTGACCGTCCAATTCCTGACTGTCAACTGTTGACCTCACTACTGCTTCCCCATAGATATCGCCATCTGTTGTCATGGGAAAGATCGCCTGATATTTGGGTTAAATGCCGCTGGAGTCATTCCGTTTCCATGTGGAAAAATAACCCCAAGTCGGTGGCGCCGCACGCTGCGGAAGCCGTTTTTCCCAGAGATGGCCCATCACGCAGCCCGCGGACACCAGGCGAGCAGGAACGCCCCTCCGCCGGGTCGCCCTTTCCCCTGGCACCTGGGAACCGAACGGTCCTTCGGCACAATCGCTGGCGGGGTCCCTGCGCCCGCCGTCCGCCCGTCCTGGGCTGAGGGGGCGCGCAGCGCGGCCCCCCCACCCCCCCGTGGACCACGTTCCCCGCGCCACGACCCCGCCAAGTACTTAACATGCAAAGTTTCCTGCGCGCGCCGGAGGAGAAGCGTCTCGAAGCGGACCTGGAGTCGCACACGGCGGCGTCCAGCGCTCGGGAAGGACCCCGCATCCCCGCTGCGTCCACCCCGCTGCCGACCCCGCCTCCCCCCGCATCCCCGCATCCCCGCATCCCCGCATCCCCGCGGGCTCAGCCCGCCCTCACCTTTGCTCGCCGCCGCCGGGGTCTCGGGAGCAGAACCCGCGAGCAAGCAGAACAGCCAGAACACCCGAGCTGTCATTCTCGCCGACGCACCGCCCAGGCTCTCGGGCGGCCTCTCTCCCCCCCGCACCCCTGCTCCACACCCCCACCCCGCTTCATGCTAATGAGGGGCAGCCTAGGGGGGAAAGGGGAGTCTCTCTCCCAGCTCCCGCCAGAGCGCACGGCCGCCGGCGGGGGGCGAGCACGTGGCCAGAGCTGTCCTGCCGACCGCGGGGCCATCCCAGCCCTGGACTCGGCACCACGGTGGGTGCGCGGGCTCCGGGGGGCCGCGGGGAGCTGCTGGCCCGGGGCGAGCACCTGGGGAGAGCATCCGGGTGGGGGCATGTAGAGGACACTCCGCCGAGATCCGGCCAGAGCTGGGGCGGCCAGAAACACACACCCCCTTCCTTCCCCCCCCCCCCCCCACCACACACACACACAGCCGCCGGTGGCTCGAGAGAAATCAAACCTCAGCGCCCTGGGCGGCATTGATGTCTTTTCCTATAGATCCATGTTTCTATCTAGACACAGCAAGGGGCGACCCTCATCAATGCAACTTTTCTTCTCCTCCCTCCGGTTGGCGGAGTTCAGGTGCCTTGGGGCTCGGTGACAAAGGGGAGTGAAGGGGAGTGAAGGCCCGGCAGGGTGTGCAGACGAATAAACTCCGTCAATGCTGTGGATTCTCCAGCTGACTGCACACTGGACAGAAACGGTCTTCACCAAGGGGCGCCACCGGGGTCTGTCCCCCTCACCCGTCCTCCCCGCCCCACCCGGCTTCCTGCCCTTCAGCAGCCTCACACCCTGGAGGGAGGGGAGACTAAGTAGAGAGTTCAGTGAGGGGCGGTTGCTGAAAGTAATCACAGACTTTTTTTTGCCTTTTGGGGTCACACCTGGCGATGCTCAGGGGTTACTCCTGGCTCTGCACTCAGGAATTAACTCCTGGCAGTGCTCCAAGGACCATATGGGATGCTGGGAATCGAACCGAGTGGTCCGTGGCCTACCCGCTGTGCTATCGCTTCAGCCCCAGAAATCACAAACTCGGAAGGCAAAAAGAAGAGACTTGGGTCTCCAAAAGTGCAGAAGGGGCAAGGTTGAAAGGTCTGCGCAATTTGCATGAGGGAGGGTGGGTTTGAGAGCTGGCGCCTATGCACCTCACCCCAACCCACCCCACCACACCAGAATGACACTGAGCTGTGACGAACACAACTCCAGCCCCTACTAGTGCAGCCGAATGTACCCCCCAAAAACAACTACAAGAACCGTGCAAGTGGGTTGGCCAGGATGGGTGAGGACTATGTTTTCCAGAGAGTTAAGAGGCCAGAGGCGTGGTGTAAGTGGTGGGCAAATCCTTCTCGGTTTGACTGGGTTGGAGTCCCCAGAATTGCATCCCTGTCCCTTTCCCCAGCACCCCAGCACCAGTAAGTGTGGTCCCAAAAGCAATAAAATTCAGTAAGAAAAGAAAGAGGCCCCTCCAGGAGTGACCCCTTAGTACAGAGCCAGGTGAGGCCTGAGCACTGCCAGGTGTGAAAAAACAAAGAGAGAAGTGAGGGGAGAAAGGAAGGAAGGGGCTGAAGAGATTGCTGGGGTCTTTGTGTTTTGGTTTTGAGCGATGCCCAGTGGTGCTCAGGAGTTACTCCTGGCTGGCTCAGGGGGCCTGTGTGGAATACTGGGAATCAAATCCGGGTCAGCTGTGTGTGAGGCAAACTGCCTACAGACTGTACCATCGCCCCAGCCCCTTGTCTATGTTTTTTTCATAAAACATAGGGGATGTTTTTATGTTCCTAGGCTCCACCTTTTTTTCTTGCTTTTTGGGTCACACCCAGCGACGTTCAGGGGTTACTCCTGTTTCTACATCTGGTGGTGCTTGGGGGACCATATGGGATGCCAGGGACTGAACCCAGGTTGGCCGCGTGCAAAGCCTTCCCACTGTACTATCACTCCGGTCCCTCGGCTCCCTTTTTTTGCTGTCTCAGAAAACCCACCTTGAATGGGCCAGGAAGATACGCAAAGGGCTAGTGTGCATGTGAAGCACGTGGCCAACTCGGGTTTGATCCTGGGTACCCCATATAGACCCCAGAGCCTAGCAGTTATCCCTAGGAGTTATCTCTGCATGCAGAGCCAGGAGTAGGCTCTGAGCACTGCCAGGTGTGGCAGAAGGAAGGAAGGAAGGAAGGAAGGAAGGAAGGAAGGAAGGAAGGAAGGAAGGGAAGGAAGGCTGGTTTCCAGAGCCAGCAAATGCAAGGTAAGTTCCTAACTCTCACTACTATCTCTCTGGCATCATACATTATTTTTTAAATGTAAAGGCAGAAGCTGAAGAAATAATATAGGGGGGAGGGCGCTTCCTTTGCACAGGGCCAACTTGGGTTCGCTCCCTGGCATCCCATTTAGTCTTCAGAGCACTGCCAGATGTAATTCCTAAGTGCAGAGCCAGTAGTAGCCCCTGAGCATCACCAGGTGTGGCCCGACTCCCCTTCCTCTCTCATAAAAGTAAAGGAAAAAGTAATAAAAGAATAAAAGAAATTCATAGGGATTCAAACAATAGTACAACTGGGAGATTGCTTGTCTTACATACAGCCGATCCAGGTTCAATCCCCTGCACCATGTACGGTCCCCTGACCCCCTCCGCAAGTTGTTCTTGGGGTTGGAGAGATAATACAGAGGCTAAGACCTTTGCCTTGCACACAGGCGACCTGGGTTGGATCCCTGGCATCCCATATGGTCCCCTGAGCACCACCAGGAATAGTTTCTGAGCACAGAGCCAGGAGTAACCCTTTGAGCATCACTGGGTGTGGCCCCAAAACAAAACCAAAATCAGAAAAGTCATTTGTTCCTTGGAAGTAGAGAGGTATGACTGAAGTTTTATTATTTATCACAAGGTTGCATGCTGAGCACCTTCTCCCGTGGGGTTTTAGAATTTTCCCTCCCCCTGCAAAGAGCACATCTCCATGTCACCATGGGGCTCATACCCTGCAGGGTCTGCGTCTAGCTGCCAGCGGGACCACCAGGCCCCAAGACTCGCGTGCTGGGGCGACGCTTCTACAAATCCTCACACCCCTTCTCTCGTGCGGGCCTTGTAAATGGACTCAGCTGAATTTGCTTAAGCTTTCTCAGTTACAACCGCATCTCAGACATACCTGCTGGAGATTCTATTCAGTCACCCAGGTCCAGTTTGGGGCGTTCCCGACACTCTTGTATTGCAGGAATGTGGTGAATGCCCCAAGCTCACACCCTGAAATCAAGAGGTGACAGGACAATTCCCACGGGCTCCAGGAAGCTCTGGGGTGGGGGAGGGGGCCGACACCCGGAAGCTCTTCCAGGGGTCCAGGCCTGGGTTCTGGAGCCACCTCAGGCTGGTAAGTCACCCGTACGAAGGCGACAGAGAGCAGTGACGGAGGCCACCCTGTCTGTCTGCCAGGACATGGGTTGACATGAGAAGCGCACTCTGGCAGATGTGCATGCTCCTCGCAGCCCCCTCACCCCCCCCCACCCTACCCCGCATGCTTTTTCTACTGACCAGCCACACGGGGAGCAGAGCAATCATCAGGGGCCTTAGTAATCTAAACCGGGGTACCAGGAACTTGTCATCTGCTTGGACTGTCGGACGCCCGTGGTTTCCCATAGTCTAAAGTGTTCCCAGCACAACAGACCCACATACACATCTGCACATCTGCCTTCTCTCCTTGCCCGTTTCTGCCACGTTCGGGCTGACTCTGCTGAGTAAATGCTTATTGAGTACGTATGTGTGTTAGATTTTTGGCTTTTGAGATGCTCACCCACCCAGCAATGCTCAAGTGTTACTCTTGGCTCTGCAGTCAGAAATTACTCCTGGCAGTGCTCAGGGGACCATGTGGGGTGCCAGGGATCAAATCCTGGTCTGCCAAGTGCAAGGCAAGCTCCCTCCCTGCTGTGCTACGGCTCCGGCCCCCTCCCTATATATTTTGTTATTTTTTTTTTAAATGTGTGCAAGATTTCTGGCAAAGAGTTTCAAAACTGCAAGGAATTTCCCAGGCACCACAAGTGTTTGAGTGATTGATAAACTTCAGGATGACGCCCGAGTTTATGTTAATGAGGCGCCCCGCACAGCGTCAGGCAGGGAACTGGTCACCCAGAGAAAACCCTTAGGGGCCCAGCTGCTCTGGGCAGGGGTCCCTCTCTCTGACTCTCCCTGGTTCCCAGACCCGTGGGTAAACATGGTGGCATAGCCAAGAATGGAGACGGTGGCAGAAGGTCTGCAGACGAGAAAAGCAAATCCATATTCCTGTTCTGTGCCCGAGAGGGCGAGCCGCTGTCCACTCGACCAGTCTGGACACTGAGAATAGAACAAGGGATTATTGTCCGGCCTCTACGGGGTGCGACCCTTGGACACGCGCCCTCTGCTGGCCGTTCCGAGGATTGGCGCCCGGGCGGCTGCTAATCCTCCTGTAAGCGCCTGCGCTTTGGGTGGCCCCTTCTATTTGACAAGTGTCCGGTATCTCCAAGTCTCATGCTTGGCGTGTTTCTGTTTGTTTGTTTTTTTTTTTCCTTGCGGTTCTGCTTCTCAGGCCCCTTGTTGCTTCTGCGGAAGGAGTAAGAAAAAATGGCGACTGCACTGTTCCAGTTTTAGTACTGCAACAGTTAAAAGTATGATTATTCTGAATATCAATTATATTGTAGTTTATTTTCATATTCATTTTGCTGTATTCTCATGCCCCTCTTAAATGAGTTTTGAAAACTCTACTAGTAGATGTTTATATTTAACCAAGCCTTTAAAAAATTAAAATTCTTTACCGGGGCTGTAGTGATAGTACTGCGGGTAGGGCGTTCGCCTTGAACGCGGCCAACCTGGGTTCGATTCCGGCATCCCATATGGTCCCCTAAGCACCGCCAGGAGTCAGAGAACCATCTGAACCTGAGTTTAGAGCCAGGAGTAGCCCCTGAGCATCGCTGGGTGTGACCCCAAAAGAAAATAAATTAAAATCTAAAAAAAATCAAAATACTTTAGGCTGAAGAGATAGAACAGTGGCAGGAGTCCTTGCCTTGCATACAGCCAATCCAGATTTTATTCCCAGCACCACAGACGGTCCACAGAGAACCACCAGGTGT